CAGGTCGCCTAATCATTGACGACGGTATGAAGCTCTTCTCCGTGCCACCAGCCGGCTTGTCTTTCTTGGTCTCGTTCTGGTTACGAGGGACAATACGATCCTGCACTCTCTCGGCCTTGGCATGACGAAGATCGTCAAGAGAACCGACTCGTAATTTGCGGCCTTCAAACTCCATGTTGCTGAGCTGTAAGCTTGCCTTGCCCGCCGCGGAAGAGTCTGCAAATTCAATCTTTACGCCGCCATGGCTGGGCTGGAGGACGAGCTTGACGATTGGTCCAAACGGCTCAACAAGTGCTCTCACTCGGGCGTCGTTGACAGTGTCAGACAAGCCCATGAGTGCAATGGTGCGTGCAGCAATATCGGCAGCGGTAGCGGAGCCTCCCATTGCTATGTCGCCATCTGCATCTTCAGTCGCTTGAGATGTTGGAGTTGCACGGTCGTGTGATACACTCTGGGCCGTAGGCTTCACATTCGAGGGCTTTGAGATTTCAACCTGAAGGATTTGGTTGAAGAACTTGGTCTTATTCAGCTCTGATGCAGCCTTTTCAGCCTGGTCTTTTGTTTCAAAGTCGACGAATGCAAATCCGCGACCCTTTCCGTTAATACTTCGGGGAACGTTTATTCTTGCAATGGTTCCATATTTTGAGAAGACCTCTCGGATTTCCTCTTCTGTAGTTGAAGGGCTCAACCCTGAGACATGGACTTCTCGGCCCTCGGCAACAGCACCCTCTCGATTCTTCTTGCGGTTGGGGTCTGAGTATTTAGCCAAGAGCTTGTACTTGCCATTAAGTAGAATGCCTTCTTTGGCCACGGCTTTGGCAGACGCATCGCTGTCACGGAAAGAGACGTAGCAGAAACGACGATGCGAGTTGACCTTTAAGCTAGGCCACCGAATGCTTAAAATATCTCCACAGTCTTGAAATAGCTGGCGAATATATTCTTCATCAGCGGTAGGCGGGTAGTTTGCAACGTATATCGTCAAATCGTGACCAGACTGGACGGTGAGTTGAGATTGCCCAAAGAACTTACCATCCCTGAGCAATGCGGATCGAGCCTCATCTGGAGCACTGAATTCAATCAATGCCGTTGAAGACTGACTATCCTTTTCTCGAACAAATGCCGTGATATTGTTTATATGGCCATACTCTTTAAAGTACTGGCGAAGTTTTGTCTGAGTAACTTCAGCGGGAAGGTTTTTAACAATCACAGACGTATTCTCTCTGTCTCTGCGCAGGCCAGACTGAGCTTCGCGTGCTTCCTGCTCGCCTTTTTGGCGCTTGTTGGTGCTAGCATCTTCCCGAGATTCGGCAGCATCTTCTAGTTTCCTCTTTGTCTGGCTTGAGGAAGCATCCTCCTCTCCAGTAGGTTCACCAGGGTCGGCCGCTGTCTGTGCGCTGTAATAAGCAGCATACGCAGTAGCCTTTTCTTCTTCTTCTAGCTTACGTCGCTTTGCAACGTTGTTTCCGGCTTTTTGCACCATGTCTGCCGCCTTGCGTACAGAACGTGATATTTCATAGTCGTTGCAATGCTGCATATAAACTTCCAGCACTTTTTCCGGCCAGTCAATTGTTGATCGGTTCACAGCACGCTGAAGGACAGCGGTCGCAAGCACCGGTATTCGGAAATTGCCACCTGCGGAGGAGGGCGTAGGACTATTGGATGAGTTGGTGGAAGAAAAGATGAGCATCTCCCACATGTAGTAGCGAAACCAGAAGTCATGGCTATCGGCATGGATTTGAGCCTTGGCCAGCTTATTCCACTGCAATCTTGCCTCATCTACGGCGTTTTTCTTCTCAGTCAAGTACTGGATGTAGATACGCTCAAGTCGAAACTTTGGATCGCCCTGGAAGTCTTTGCCATAGAGTCTCTTGCCTACGACCTCAACATCCTCTAGAGCGGCACTTAGGCCGACGTCCGCCACGTCGACAGCCTCGTCGGTGGCGCTTGCGTCCATTGCAGTACGCTTGAGAAAGCCGCACCAAGCTACATACATCTCGATCATGCTCTCCATTCCATGCTTGTATAGCTGATTTTCGCTCGTTGCGGCATGCTTGATGGACTCCACTTCGGAAAAATCTAATCTCGCCTCCTCTGCGCATAGTATTAACCTATTCCATAAGCGACCAGACCAGGGGCAATGCTGAACGGCTCGACGAAGGGCGTTGAGAAGAAATTCAGGGGCTTTCGTGTCGGCATATGAGGAGGAGAGAAAAACAATGTACTCGTGCCAAACCGATTCTTCGGTCGCGAATGTACCGGTCAAAGCTCTGGCATAGAGTCCACAGCAGAGGTTGAAGCTGATATCGGTGCCGTCTTGGCCGCCATCAACCTGTGATGTCTCCCACTCGAGATATTCAATCATGGTCTTCTTTTGTGCCTCAACGTCTTCGGCTCGAGACGCCTGTTGCAGCTTGAGTTCGAAGGAATCTCGTTTGCCCATGAGCTGCTTTGCATCTTGAGATGACGCCGTAATATCCTTCATCGAATCTTCCCATGCAGCTCGATTGTATTCCGATAAAAAGGTCGAGTACATCTGCGATGTCGCGTCCCACGTGAGATGAGGCGTTGTCAATCGGTTACGGTAGAGGTGCGTGATGCGTTTAACGCCCTCTGGCGTTTTTGTCTTTTCCAGCAGTTCCATTTCAAGAGATACCCAGCGGTCCCAGAGAAGATGGCTATCATTGATGCGGTATTTGATAGCCTCGTAGCCCTGCTGCCACAAGCCAAGGGCAGCTTCAAACGAGAAAAGCTCACGACCCATCATTTGCTCTTCCTCTGGCCATCCGGCGGTATCAGACTGGCTATCCGCCCAGAGCGACCAGAAATAATTACAGTATGCCAGCCATATTCTCAGGCTGCCCGGCTCTGCGCCAACAGCGCGTTTGAAAAACTCGACGACATTTACGCGTTTCTCGAGGTCAGATGCGTTGCGGATGGTTTCGTCGAGATAGGCCAGCCAGCTGTCCTCGCCTACAGGGTTAGCCATGATCGCCTTCTTCGTTCTTTCTGGCAAGGCATCACAGGCCTGCAGTGCACGCCAAGTGTTGCCGCAGAGATGCAAAAGGCGATTCGAGGGCGATTGGTTGCTAGACGAGGTGAGAAAAGGCTGGCTTGGATGGCTGACGGCAAGCTGTTTTCGCTAGAAGAGCTCTGTAGATGAGATCTGCGAATGTAATTGCTGAGGGTGCCGCTAGTCAGTGCGATGACAAGCTGTCCAATGGCACCCCCTGTCACGCCTTTCCTTTTTATGCTTTGAAAGATAACCTGTCCTATGATTCGGTTACGGATGATTAAAGTTCCGATCCAAATTTAACCATGAAAATATTACTTATTAAACTTTTAATAGCGTTATTTTAATATAAAATAGATATAAAATAAATATAAGAAATGCGTTTATTTTTAATTGCTTATACAAAAAACTTACTAGTGTTTACAAACAAAATTCTTCTTAGTTAAAATATTACTGTAGTTTTATAAAAAGAAATAAATTATAATAAAAGGCAGCTATTACTATGAGATAGGTAACGGGGCGCGGGGGGGGGGGGGGGGGGACAGCTTTATATGTACTCGCCGCTAGTGCGCCTGCCTTGCCTTACAGGTTGGTGCAGGTGGTAATGGATTGATGGCTTCGGAACCTGATGGTACCTACGTTAGTGGGCAAGCCTGGTGCTGAGTGCACTGATTGCAGCACGGCTGCGACCAACGGCTACCATGTACGAGGTATAGGCAGGTCTTCGCTGCTCTCATGGGAGGAGGGATCGCCCAGCTACCACACCATCCGAAGTTCTTAATATAGCTGCCACTCACATGACAATCGACTTCTTCAGGAACAAGCATCTCTACGCTGCATTACATAAAAGCAGCTCGGTTCTCTCTAGCTCTGTGTGGGTAAATTTGCTTCTATTGTTACTGAAGACTCGGCATATAGTCTACATATTGCACTACTCAGCGCGCGTACTCGCTTACACCAAACACCGTAACAGTAGCCAGCTGCTTCACAGGGTAACGGCTCCGCCATTGAATCAGATGCATATCCCTAGGCGCGGAAGATTACTGCTGCTACAAGTAGGTGGCAGCACTAAGAATAACCTACAGTAATGTTAATTGCTAAAACAATGCACCCGCAGACACTAGGCGCTGTCCGTGCCAGGGCCTGTTTGCTGCCTCGCATATTCGTCCACAGGCTGACACGCGACCTGCCCGTCTGTTTAGACCCTAAGCCATGATTCCACGTTTCACATGCCCCCTACTTTGCAGAATGCAGCAGGTACCCAGTCTGGCTAGGAGTCAGGTACAGCATAAACCGCCGTTTGCTGCGCGTTATTAGCGCTGGCTGGTGCTGAAGGTGGGACCCTGGACAAGGATCGCATCCCTATCATCATTAGCTGTAATGATCTACGGAGCCTAGCACGGAGCGCCAAATATACTCGAGGCTCGGCGAAGCCTTCATCTTGCATCTTGCATCCTGACTTGCGACTCTTCATTCTTCTTTTTTTTTTTTTTTTTTCAAACTTCAACCAGGTCTCTGCTGACCACCCACGCTCCCTACGACGTTATTGCGAATTGTACTTCTTACGCTCTTTATTCTCTTGTTTTCGTCTTCTCCCTTGTCGAGCCCCTTCAATGGCCATTCCTGCCGCGAATCTTCGATATTCTCACTAGACCCTTCTCCCTTTACTTGAGAGATTTGCATTCCAATCATTCAGCGTCATTCATTTCCTCGTGTATATTGCGCATTTCAGTGCAAGTTTGTTTTCGCTGCTGTTCGAACCGTGTGTGCTGGTAACTCTCGGTCGACGCCTGTCACATTTTCTGCTGCTTTCTACTGTAGCACTTCCTCCTTAGCTCTGCGACGTTATATGAGCCAGAGAGAAAGACGAGAGAGAGACGTCTGGTGGCTTCAGCCTGTCTTTCTCTCTAATTAGTTTATTTTCGACGACTACTCTCAACTTCCATCTCATCCCTTCTCCTCTCCGAGCGTGAGAGTGACCACTTTCGAAATGCGATCCCTTTTTCCGGTAGTGCTCGGTGCACTAGGCTTGATCTTTGTCGATGGTGTTGTTGCCCAAGATCCACCCGCTTGTGTGGTATGTCGATTCAGCACAATGTTAAAGCCCTGGCAGTTTCTGAGTTAACTGTGATAATAGTCGACTTGCGCGAATCAAGTGAGAAGTGAATTCACACAGTTCTCCTGTACCAGTGCAGATGATGCTGCCTGTTTGTGCGCAAATGCCAATTTTGGATTTGGCGTGCGAGACTGTGGTCAGACTGGCTGCGGTGCTACCGACACCCAGGTTCAGTCTTTTCTAGCTGGGTCGTTTTGTCAGGGTAAGAGTGGACGATATTATGAGTTATGCATCTCGCATTGCGAGAGTTTAACATTGGCTTTATACTCACTCGTGAATAGGCCAACAACTGGCATTCTCTGCTACCGGCGCCTCAGCTCCCCCAACTTCGGGCGTATCATCAACTCCAGCTGCAACAGCACCAACAGATGCCACGACTCCAGCACCAACAGCTCCAGCCACCAGCGCTTCGATCCCGGCTTCATCGATTCCCCCGACTTCAGTGCAGCCCACAGGTCCGCCAACGACAGCACCACCAGCCTCAACAGGGGCTCCGACCTCATCTCCGCCAACATCAACTGCCCCTCCTCCAATTACCTCCGGCGTAGTACGTCTCTCCACATCATGTGAAATTGATTTTGTGAGGTTGCTGACTTGCCATTGTCATAGCATTCGGGCACATTTCCGTTTTCTAATTCGACTTCGTCTGCTGCCCCTTCCACCACCGTCCCGGCCACTTCTGCCTCCTCTACCCCCACTTCTAGCGAGACGGCCGCAGCAGCTCCTGCTGGTGGCTCAGGATTATCTCAGGGTGCGGCCATTGGTATCGGAGTCGGAGTTGCGGGTGGCGTGGTTGCAATTGCCTTTGCTGCTGTCTTCATGTTCCTCAGAAACCGCAACAGGCCCTCTGCCTCTTTTGATATATCCCAACCCCCTTCCAATTCGGGATCTGGACAAGGCGCTTTCGAAAAGTACTCGAATGATATCGAAATGACGTCCAACCGGTACGAAGATATGGTGCCTCGACAGCAGCCAAGGGTGATGGTATGATTACGTGTCGTTGTCTGCTATAGTCTTCAGAGCAGCTAGCTATCTGCACTCTGGTAGTGGGACTAGCTCATAAATGAAGACCAATTTCTGTTCATGTTCCATTTGTTTCAACTGCATGGGCTATGCCGCAGGCTATAATTGAAGACTTAATTAAGGCGGTTGTCGGAGACTAGACGATGTATTCACAAGAGGATATCTGTATAATGGGTTATCCGACATCGACTACCGAACAAACAAGAGGATGAAAAGAGAAAGATAACACCGGTTGCGGGTAATGTCAAGCTAAGGCTCGATTTACAAATCCATAAAGTTAAGCGATGCGGGAACCATATCGGATAAAAGTCTATCCAGTCACCCGACTGTTGTTTTTTTCCTTTCGTTGTACATATATTGATACAGATACATGCTCATTGTCATGCTGACTCTATTGCTGGGTGAAATTTAAACAGATTTGCTTCCGACTGCAACCAACTCGGGTGTCTCTACCATGAATAATATGGTCTCTGGCCGTGTACTTTGCGGTCCGGTAGATGAACCCAAGGGCCTTTCTGTGCCTTCTTCGCCTTCTCCTCCTCATACTCTCTGATTCTGGTCTTTTCTTCCTTTAGGATGACTGTAAAGCCTACGCACGCGCACAGACGTTAGCATGTTGAACAAGCTCATTGTATCATTTGGTTTAGTGGAACAATATTGGCTTGGGATAGCTTACTGGTACTTGGGTGCTGGATAATACCCATCCTTCCACGGCCTTTGTAGTCCAGCTCCTTTCCACGCCAAGGTCCTCGCCCAACCCATGACTGCGCAACGTATAAACGGGTCGGATCCGCAATCTCAATCCACTTGCCATCCTTGGTTTGCACTTTTCGAGGCTTATCCAAAAGGTCACCGTTGACTTTGCCGAGTCCCATACCACGTTGGACAACAGCCATGTCTCGAGCCTCCTCCAGGTGATATTTGACCTCAGCCGCAAATTTCTTTTTTGACCACTGCATTTGCTGAATAGCTTCGTCAACTGGCTTACCGGCAATCTGTCGCGCCAACATGACCAGCTTCTTGACGCTTGTCGGCATAAACTCGCTCTTGTGAAGCAGCTCTCGCTCCGTCATCTTTATCCTCTCCTCCCTGGTCACCTCTCCATTTCGTCGTACCAATTGAATGACCTTTTTCCGCTGCCACCTGATGCGACTCCGAGCATCTGGATCGACCACCATCGCCAAGCTCTCCTTCGTCCTTTCTTCTGATGCCGAGGCGGCAGGTGTTTCAGATGCTGGTTTCGCGGCTTCGATTTCGTCCTGGAAAATGTTGTCCTCTACGCCGCCTCGCATGTTTCTCTGTAGGAATTGTTGTCGTTTCTTGGGGTCGTCCAACTCGGAGGCTACTGGGTCTTGACCTTTGTCACCAGAGTCTTTGGCGCCGGATTTGCCCCAGCCCTTGAACATGTTGATTGACCATTTGTTGCGGCGTTGAACTACCACACCAGTATTTCCCTGAGAAGCAGTTTTTCCCAGTGTCAGCAAAGAAGCTGAGGGAGATTGGCCTATTAATTAGATAGCATGTTAGCCAGCGTATTTCATGCGTGAGCGTTTCTTTTCATCTTTCATTCTTAGGCAATGTCTTACTTGGCAGGGCCAGCCGCCGAGTGGCTAGCCGTAAACTCATTGTTACAGCGGTGCAGGGGCGTGCAGACAGAAGCTCAGCTTGCCAATTCAAAGCCCATTGGAGAGAATCTGCATCTAGCAGTTCTTCAATTCCTCCGAGACATTAGCCCACTAGTAATTGCTAGCATCCAGCCTAAGAGACACTTTTTCCTGCGCCCGATGATCCGCCGAACGAGCGGCATTGTGCCATCACGTGATGACTCTTTAGCGGGATTAACATCAGACCATACCATCGCTTGATCCGTACCAGATTCTACCTTTGCTCTACTGAATCCACCAAACAGCCAAACAAACGCATCTCGAGGCTCCGGAAAAGCTTGGAAAGCTCTCAATTCAAAATGGCCATCGCTCCGATCACTGGCGTACGTCTGCACCCCGACCAATGGCGCAACCGGCGCAGCGAAATTGCTGCCGGTGCTGCTGCAAAGTTGCTCGGGGCTAGCTAACACACATGATGCAGATACTGCGACGACAGCTCATCCTTGACCTCGGCATCGGTCTCGGTAAATAATACCCCGCGAATATCTGCAAGGCTGTAATACAGCTAGGACGACTTGGAGCAATTTACTTACGACGCATTAGGAGCTGGATTTATCATGGGAAACTGGTTCTGGTACGATCTCGAATGAGGAAGAATTTGTCAGAAGTTGCAAGACGAGAAGGTCTAACGATGGGAACAGGTACGGCTACCACATGCCCCGAACCAACGGCCGAGACGAGTACTACGCCAAGAAGGAGGCCAGTCGAGCCCAGGAGCGAACCCAGGCCCAATAGAGGGATACTCTATCTAGAGGGGTAGACGGAGAGGGATGCGACATGGACCACTAATGGTCATATAGAGGTCAAAATACGACGTCAATAGTGTGTCCTTGGCTGTCATTACATGGCTGCTGAGTGTATATCATGGTGGGCGGCTGCAGCTAGGTGAATTTCTACTTAGACCAAGCCTTGAGGCGATCCGATATCTCTTGTCTTGTGATGTGACGTACTTTTCGAGATGCCGTATCTCCTTGCAGAACTACTATTAACACTGCAGGCTCCCTCCCCTTTTGAATATTTGCAGAGTTCTATTCTACGTGAAACGACATCTCTTTTGCTCCGGATGTGTCCAGACCACGTTCCGTAGACAAGTCAACGTTCGTCGCTACTACGATGAAGAGGGCGTAGACATTACATTAACCCCGGAGCTTTACAGCCAACCTTGATGACCATATCCTATACTATAGCCGCCAGTTTAGAGAATCTCATCATTCGCTTGCTAAATCAAGTGCTATTTTATACAATATTATGATGAGGACTGGCGCGAAGCTCCTCAATGGTATGCTCCTCATTGCTTAGCGCGGGCGTATATCAGCGATGCCAAGAGCTCATTAGTCAGAGAGCTTGTAGCCAATTCGTCTTTATTTTTATTGCGATGAAGAAAAGCTGCAGTCTCACGGCGATGCCTCGTCGGGATCATGCCAGTTCGATGACCACTGATGCGGCTTCGGCAGGTCTCTGGGTTTCGTTCCGTCTAAGCCGCCATCTGCCTTGGCCCTCTCCTTTTCCCACGCCGTTGTTTCCACGGTAAATGTTCCTTTTTTGTCTTTACACCTAAGACAGCTGTTAGTTCTCACGGAGCTAAATGAGAAAAATTCCATAAAAAGAGTCCTGATATTATCAATTGAAGTGTCGTAAATACAAGCAATGGCGGGGTGATATGTTAGTGATGTGGTGGGGGTAGATGGCAAACTCGGGATTTTTTCTTCTTCTACTTACCTGCGAAATAGCCGATCTACAGCATAGCATCGAACCGGACTGTCGCGCGACAACGGCCGCTCAACCTCGCACTTGTACTGCAGCATCTGCAACAGCTCGCAGGCCGACAAGTCAATCTTGCGAGACACGCTGCCCGCGCCCTCGACTTTGCGGCGCCGCCCCGACGCATCCTGTTGGATCCGCTCTGGCAGCTCTGAGGCGGGAAATGAGCGGCACGGCGGCGTCATTTTTTTCGCAACCGCGAATTTTTCTGCTTGATTGTTCCCGGCAGAAAGTCAGGCGATGGAGTCTATAGGTGGACAGCTGCTGAAGGCTGTTGAGGAGGCTGACTTGGAAGAGGTGAGCTTGCGACTTTAGACCCTTTGCTTTGTAAGAAGTTGAGTTATGGAGATGTAAATGAAAAATGTTGGGACCATGATATGCTGCGCAAACACACCAAGCCTGTTGCTGAACCACCACATTTGCTTGCAATTGTTCTCTTTTTCACAATGTATTGGATCAAACGACAGCTCTTTTCCCTGATGAGAAGAATAAAATGAAAAGAAGCGAAAAGCCGCATAATTGCTGTGACGAGACTTGAAGATGTAGTGGAAACCCCTTGATAAATACTCCCTTCATGTGTTCACGGTAGACATGTGTAGATTAATTGCAAGTTCGAAACTAATATTGAGCCATGACATACTTCTAGGTACTTGATAATCTTCGCGCAGCTCTTCCCACTCAGCCAGGCGGAACTGGCACCAGACGCATCAAAACCACACACCTGAACGACCTCGACCAACTCACTGCTCAGCAGCTTCGAGCCACCCAGGCTCCCACAATCTCCCTCTCTGGCCGAAGCCTCCCATTAGTATACAAGATAATATCAACACTTGTCTCGCCGCCTCATTCTCTCGCTCTCTTCGTCCTCGACTTCGATGGCCGCTTCGACGCCACTCGCCTCACATGCGCCGAGCAAGACCTGCAGCACGTCTACGTTCAACAGCCGCCATACAGCGAAGGATCCAACACCAACGCCGAGCACATCCGATCGCTCATCGAAGATGCCGAGCGCTTCATGATCTACGAAGACGACTCGGCGGCGTCTCGCACGCGTGAGTGGTGGGGAACCATTCTTCTGGGCGGGCTGGGAGCGGGAGATTTGGTTGCTGGGTGGAAAGGCTGGCTTCACGTTGAGCGTGAGAATGTGGCAGAGTATTCTATGAGAGTGACTTTGGAGGATGCTTTTGAGAGACGCTCTGATAGACAGGAAGTGGTTGATAGGACTGGGTGGGCAGCAACATCACAGTGGGGAGGATTTACATTTGAGGATTGATGCTGCTCGTTACACTGATGTAATCACGCTTTGCGGACAGCAGTGGTCACAATGAATTTCACGACGGTAATGCGCAGGAGTTGTAAGAGTAAATCATCTATAATTTCGAGGTGAAAGACTATCTAGACCATGTCTATATCTTGTTTATGATGATGTCTAAAATATATTCTGTAAAACGTTTGGGGTATAGAAACAGGTTCCACCAGGTTTACCTAGCTAAAAAGGAATGCGTATCAAAAGAAAAGAAAAAGAAAGGAAAGAGTAGATAGAGAGAAGAAAGATGAGAAAAGAATATGATGAAAGAAAAGTAATCAGCGAGTTGCTAGCCTTCGCTTTGAGAAAAAGTTGTGCAAGATAAGAAAAAAAAAAAAAGAATAGAAAAGAAATCTCAATCGTGTCGCAAGATAAAGTCAGCGTAATCAATTTTGTTTCCAACTCCAAATACTCCATCCCATGATGTCTTGCAAAAGTTCAAGGCTGTCGTAACAGCTTATACAGAGATGAGCATATCCTCATCCACGACAGCAACCTCATTCTGGGTATACTTTGGCTCGCTAAAGATAGTGGGCTCGCCAAGGATGGTTTGCTTGAGCGATGAAGTAACCTTCTTGCGCATCTCGCGCTGAAGCCCGTGGTTGACAGCATCAAGGACGTTGGTCACCGTGGCGCGAGGCTTGTACGCCGGCTCTGTGCCCTCCTGGTATACACCAGTCTTGACCAAGATGCTGTACCAGTCATTCTTGGCAACATCGTTGATGGCATTGGTGCCACGGATGTCACTTTCCGGTGTATCGCCAACAAAGTACACCGTCTGCGGGGGGCCAGAAATGCCATGCTCGGTGCTTCGCCACGTTTGCATCAATCGCTCAGCAAACTCAAAGGTAGAGACTTGAGGCTTGCCAAAGGCGTGAGTGTGCAGCTTGCCCTTGCCTTCTGTGAGGTCCTTGAAGGTAATCTCAAACATGCGTCTGAGCGCGCCCATGCCGAGACGCACATGCTCGTGAGCAGCAGACCAAACAACATCATTGTGAGAGAAGTAGAAAGGAGGACCCTGATCAAAAGTCTCGCTGCGAGTGCCAAGTCGACCGCCTTGGGACATGGCAACATCCAGCATGATCTGAATGTCACCGGCCCAGTCGCGAGAATCAGCAAATACAAAGACGGCATCAATGACAACGTCGTCAAAGTTTCGCTCACGAGAGTTCTTGAGCTCTTCAGGCGTCAGCTTTCGGAATGGTGTTGTGGCAGCATTGTGCTTGATGATGTCTCCAGGGGTAACGACATCTTTGAAGCCGTATCCTTCGGCGACGAGACGGCATTTTTCGCCCTCGCCTCCAATAACGAGGACTGTCTTGTACTTTTCGGCCATTTCCCTCATGGGGGTATGTCCGCAGATGAATTGGCCGGACTTAATCTCTCGCTGAAGCTGGCGCGATAGATCTCCGCAGCGCTCTTCTTCAGTCTTGCCGCCGCCATTGGTAAGGAAAATATGAGGGCTAGTGAAGTTGCATGTTAGTCGAGTTACAGAATAAGAGGGCAGAGCTAAGATCAACTTACATCTTCATTCCATATTCATTTTCTCCATCCAGCACTCTCATGGCCTCAATGGCTTCTGGGATGGGGTTTCCACCCCGGACGAGCACGCCGTCGATGTCAAATGCAAATACAAAAGAATCGGCAACGGCGTCCGAGTCGACAGGGGAGATGGGAGTGGGGATGCTGGCGACACTATCTCTGGAGGAGACCGATGCTAGCTCTGGAGAACTAGGCATCGAATCTGAATCTGTTACTCTGGTATCGATGTCCTTCTTGACTGCGGCAACGTGCTGATAGAACTCGGTCTGCTGTTCCTTACTTAGAGACGCCATGATGGAAGATATGGTGATTGTGTTTTTTTTTAGAAAATGGAAATTTGAAAGGGTTTTTTGGGAAGTTGCGTGTATTAAATGCCGGAGCAGAGTCGAGAGGGTACTTTGAGTAGCTGGTGTTCTTGTGGGCTTGATGATTCTACCGTCCTGAACGGTGAGCGTATGTACTCTTTATAGATCTCGCCCTCTTCTCCTTTGCTTCTCTTGCTGCCACCCCTCAGTACTTCCAGCTTGTCTAGACATCTCGACATGGCTCCACTCGAAACCCGCCATAGCACCTTCGAGTCATTTTCTCTCCAGGTTTTCCGCTCAGATTTCGTCAAAACTGTGGAAAGCTGCGATATGTCCCCAATTGTTTATCCACAGCCTGGTCCCACACGCGTGACAATTGCGGGTTGCGGTATCGAGAGGTGACGGCGCTGTGGAGATGGCGCGCGTAGCAACTACGTAGCCATGCTCAAGAGGGTCGAAGAGGCTTGCGGTCTGAAGTGAGGCTTGCAAGGCGAGCTAGCCCAGGCACAAAGAGCCTCAGGGTAGTGGTAGCGAAATGGCGGCCTTGACATGTGATTAGTGACAGGAGTACTTGGAAGATTCTGAGTATCAGGCAAGGGCGTACGTCATAACAGCTGCAATCAATGTTACACGTTTTATCGCAATATCACAACTCTATTTCTTCTCTTGCACAACATGCAATTTTTGCTCTTATCATCGCTACACGTGGAATCAATGGCCAGTAGCCCTGTCTTAGTCGCGGATCTTTGCCACTTACGCCGAAACCGCCAAAAGCGAATGGCGCTCCAAGTGGCAAGCGCCGTCAAAACATGGAACGCAGATTTGCAATCGCGTTGCCATTAACTGGAAAGCGGGCGCCCCCTAGAGTCACTCATGTCAGACAGCGGCATTTTATGGGCGAATGATAACGAGTGGCTGATAAGGGGCAGCTTGCCAGATGGCGCTGAAGTGAGGCAAAGCCCGGCGATCTCATGTGAAGAGGCGCCGAGAACCCCTGGTTCGTATGACTACACGTAGTATATGGTGGGAGGGAAAGCCATCTTACTGGACTGAAGAGAACGAAAAATTTTACGGATGGAAAATAGAACAATGGATAAGCGAAGTCGGTGTAAGAGATTGAAACAGATCGCCTACATCGTAGATCTGAGTGATATCTCGGACCAGGATGGCTTGTTTACAGGGTAAGGAACAAGCCGTGAAAGCTATCTCTTGGAGCTTATATGAGTCAAGTGCTATTCGATTATCTCCTAAGCATCAACAGTATCTGGGGAAATTTTGGGTGCTCCGTGGAGTCGAACAAAGGAGTATCTGTAGTAAAATTTGCGACATGGGCTACCGTCTCGAGTGCTGGCGAGACGGTAGAGCAGATATTCCAGCGTCAAAAAGTACTTCACCTTACTCGGCACATGTCAAAACGAGCGTCGATATGGGCGGCGGTTCTACGCTGACGTCAAAAACGCTCCACCCTTCCGGCACGGAGGCCTGTGAGTGCTCAGCGTCGGGTCCGAAGCGGGGCTGCGGATCTGAGACCGGATGTCTACGGACAGGGGGAGCAACAGGCGAAGCTGAGCGTTGTCAGCACTGTAAATGCCAAGGCAGTTTCCTACTGAATGTATGGAAAGCGCTCAGTGAAGCGACCTTGCCTGCATGCGCGGTGAGCCGTCACCGTTTAGTTGTCACCGTTGCGGGCTGCTGCAGCAGGTTTGGTGGGAACTCGCAGCACCCAGCTCCATAATGACATAGCTGTGCCCCGTACTGCGTCTGCTTCTGTGTATCTTCACGCCTTGCCTTGATTCAGATTTTGTTATTCGTTATCTATTACGTTTCATCCTTTTCTTCTTGTGTGTGCCTTTTCTCCTTTTCCGGTTTTCCTTTTGCCTTTGTCTAGAAGATTTTGCGCAGATTTTGGTAGGCAGATGGCTTATCAGACAGCTCATGTACAGGATATAGAATGACTCCCTGTCGATTAGTTCACGGCGCTTAGGAATTGTCTGATAACGCTCTCATATCTTTCGCCATGCTCATAACATACAAAGCATCCTTTTTTTTATTGCAAGTTGACAAAAAGCCCACCGTCCACCAGCAGCTGTGCCCCCGTCACATAGCCGCTCAGCTCCTCGCACGCCAAAAAGATGGCCGGACCCGCCATATCCGCCGGCTGGCCTGTTCGCCCAAGAGGGATCCTGCCCTCCATGTAGTTCCGTTTGGCGTCATCAGCCAGATCCTCCTCGTTCAGCTGCGTGCGAATCGTCCCGGGCAACAAGGCGTTGCAGCGGATGCCGTATTTGCCCAGAGCCACCGCCGTGCTCTGCATCAGACTCGTCACGCCGGCCTTTGTAGGTGTATAATGCGTTTGTAGGCCTCCGCCCACCAGCGCTGAGATGGAGGACATGCCGATAATGCTGCCTCCCGAGGGAGTTTGATTCAATGCCATCTGTCGGGCTGCGGCTTGTGTAATATAAAAGGCGCCGTCGACGTTTGTCCTAAACGTTGTTTCGAGAAGATCCGGTGACAAGGTGAGGAAGTCAGCAAAGGTGCAGACTCCGGCGTTGGAGACGCAGATATCGAGACGACGAGCCTCGCCAGAATGCTCGACAGCAGCAGCCACTAGCCTCGCTGCTGTTTCAATTTGACGAATATCCCCGGCCAGATGAGCAAGACGGCCGGCTTCAGGGTCCTTTGCCAGCATGGCACTGGCTTCGGCTATGAGTGAGTCTAGGTGAACCTGGTCCTTCTCCAGGCCGAGATGATTGACAACGACATTGCACCCTTGGCCGAGATACCCTAGACAGATGGCTCGCCCGATACCAGTCGTGCCGCCTGTTATAATGGCAGTTTTTCCCGCCAAAAGTCCCTTGAGCGGCATAGTGGTGACTCCTGTAACGATGGAGAGTTTGATATAAATGAAACTCGGGAGAATGAAACTCGACGTTAGACAAGCCCACCACTAGTCGCACGTATCAACTTCCCATAAACTTCCAAATAACTTCCAAAGTGGCGTAGAATGTGCCGTGCAGCCACAGGGTCCAGTAGAAGGCGTCGACTGTTTCGTCCAGGCACTTGTATGAGCCAATGCGGGGCAGAGTCAGAGAGGACTGGAGTTATCCGCCTAGTTGCGTTTGCGGCTTGCTTGCTTTTCTTTTTTCCGGCAGTCATCCAAGCTTTCTCGTCTGTTGTATCGCGATGCCCGTTCCAAGGCTCTATAAATGCGGCTACAGGCTCACGAGATCCGTTTTCTGCGGTGGAAAACAATCCGAGCGCTCGGGAGCCTTTAGGGCGAGTGAACCCCTCTGCGGCGCCAGCTAAGCAGCCACCGTTTTGATGGCCCACAATACGGTGGGATGGCGACTATCGTGAGTTCGGGGTCTGCTGTACAGCGGGTCGCTGCGCTCTGGGGCTACCGTAAAAACCCTTCACGATGCTCTTAGATCGAGGGGAGGGAGTGAGCGCAAAAAGCTACAACCATCAACTCGGTGGGTCACGATCTTTTCTGGAACTCATTCCCCAGAGCTTCTCCAGGTTTTAGCACAAGGCAATTTTATGGAGCATCTGTGTCTTACTGCATATGAAGTTTACAGTTTCTTTCCTTGTCTTGAATGGACTATCGTGATAAATACTACAATGGTTGCGCTGTTCGTTGCTTTGAGAGCTTGACTGAGTTTCCGAACTCTTGTCGGAGCCGAAGTCAGACTATTCTGTTCATTTTTACCCCTTCCATTTTCCCTCTCTTTCCACCCGTTTATGCTGTTGCTGCATGGTTGCCATTGCCGTTGGCTACCTTGTCCTTGTCCTCGCCGTTGGTGGGTGTCAAGTTAGGCTGCTGCACAGGCGGAGGGCTAAGAAGATAATTTGAAGGGATCAGTTTGGAGCGTGCGGCACTGTTGATCGTCAAACCAAATCCAGGCTTATCTAGATCGCTCGTAAGCAGATAGCCCTTGGTGGGAATAGGCTCGTCTATGAACAGGTCGCCAAAGACCGGCAGCACGCTCTTGCCATCAGGAGAATTGGCGAGGTATTCTTGAAACGGAGTGTTTGGTTGCGAGATGACAAAGTGGTAGCTGTAAGGACCACTGGCATGCGGAACCACAGGAATATCGTATGCCGCGGCCATGGCCGAGACTTTCAGCAGCTCTGTCATGCCGCCTAGCCACATGACATCTGGCTGAATGATGTCAAGATTACGACCCTCGATGAGTTTGCGGAATCCGTAGCGAGAGTATTCGTGTTCACCAGTGGTGAATTTGACAGTCGGATGTGCGCGCTTGATTTGCTCAAAGCCATCTGTGTCATCAGGCGACAAACACTCTTCCCACCAGTTGATGTTGAATTCGGAGCACGCCTTGACCAGCTCAATGGTGTATGAGACGTTGAGGCTCATATAACAGTCAACCATGATGGGGAAATCTGGCCCCACGGATTCGCGATGTTTGCGCAAAAACTCCACATTTTTACGCAGGCCCTCGTGGCCTTCCTCTGGGCAGAAGGGAAGAGGCACTTTGGCGCCCCAAAATCCCATATCTCTGGCCGCTGTTGGCTCCGGGCCTGTGCAGTAAAAGTTGAGGCGCTCCTTGGTAGCTCCGCCGATTAATCGATAGACAGGCTCGTTCCTGACCTTGCCTAGTAGATCCCAGAGTGCAAGGTCAATGACCGAAATGACAGCAATGGGGAGTCCCTTGCGGCCATAGAACATGGAAGCACGATACATCTGCTCAAAGAGCAGGTTCGTATTCCGTGGATCAGCCCCAACTAAGAATCGCTCAAAGTGCTGATGAACTAGCCAGCAAGCTGGGGGGCCTATGAAATGAATTAGATCTATTTGAAAGAGTACAGCAATCTAATGACCTTCAGTCGTGGAGAAGTTCGACTATCAGTCAAAGTCGGATACTTACCGCCGAATCCTGTTGCAAAGCCAATAGTTCCATCAGATGCCTCAATCTCGACCAAGAATGATCCGAGGACGTTGATGCCCCAGCTGGTTCGCGATTTGCGATACTGAGACCATTGTGAAGCTGGTGTAGAAATGTCGCTATCGATAAGCCTGCGTGAGAGAAGAGAGTATTCAGGTCAGTTGTTGACAGTTTCATGGTACAAAGGTATACAGTGAGTAGCAGCTCAGTTGCTAGGAGTATCTGTGTAAAGAGGGCATCACTCACCAGTGGCCACCCTTGACGTTGTGGTAATCACCGCCTATTTCGCATGGTTAGTATTGTTGTTAGAGAGTCTTGCTTAATCATGCCATTTTTGGACGGTTCAAAGAGCCTGCGTGCAACTACACATACCAGAACCGACGCCGCCAATGACGTAGGACCGTATGGCTTTGATCGTAGGAAACTGCCGAACTGAGACTGAGCTATGCATGATGGATATTGGCTAAATGGGCCGAATAGGTTGGAACAGCGGGAGAGGAAGAGAAGAGAAAGATGGTAAATTTAATTTGTACGAGTCTCTCCTTGGCGACTATTCGAGCTGCGGGTAACTCTGTACATTTCAACCGTGTGGGGTGTTGTTGTTGAGGGATCGGACCTAAATGACCCGAAGGCCGCTTTACGGAGGTGCAGAGGTTCAAATGATTGAATTGGAGCCTTGAAATTTGATTAGTAGTGGGATTAAGGCTCTCGAGTCATTTGCTTGGTCTTTAATTATCCGGAAAAGTCAGAATTACACACAAAGCCTACTCAATGCTAGGTACTGTAGGCGAAGATCGTTCTATTGTTGAATTTTCTATCTGGCTATATGCTGAGGCTTCATCCTATCAGTGCTTGCTTGGAAAATCCCGGCGGGTAATGATTTGGCCCAGCAATTTTCAAAGAGGCTCCATTGGATTTGCTGTTGGTTAACGTGAGCTAAAATACTATCGGCAATTAGTCTAGATACCTAGCAGTAGCTGCTTGGAGTCGTTAGCCATGAAGTGATTTCGTGCTTGAACACCTCTGAGAGTGGACAGGTGCCGAGGCTGTAAGCAGGTACCGGCTTTCATCTGGGAACGAGACTATCATCATCTGGCTGAATGCATCCTGCCGGCCCAGCGTTTGTGAATAACCCACCTGCAAGTAAAGTAACTCAACGGAGCTCTCCTCTTTTCAACCGCGCATCCCCCATCTCCTCACTTCTCCAGCAGCTCCAGCAGCCCCAGCGGTTCGCCGGCTGCCGCTCCCCATGTGGATGCCGCCCGTCTAGCAGCCGCTGTGGCCACATCCCGGCTCTCGTCAGCCAGCCCCGGCGCCACCAATAAGCTGCCTCCAGCTCCAGCTCTGCCGCGGCCTGGCTGTCTTGGAGAAGACAGGCCCAACTCCCAGCTCCGCATCGTCGCTATCTCTCAGGTTATCATTGACCCGGCCTGCCAACAACCTCCCGCTGGCCTTTGTCCCGAGAAAACACGTGCGCCCTCTCCGGATTCTCTCGCTGCTCGCCGCTCACCGGTCGCCGCCCGTCTGCTGTTCGTGGCCCCGCTGGCTGTCGCGTCCAATCACTGGAGCTGCGTCGGAGCGTCAATCCACCGAGAAAGCTTCCTTCGTTCGTTGTGCGAGGTGAAACGGGCTTGTGCTGCGAGGCTAAGGCGCCATGCGCAGCGGTAGCGAAGATAACAAACGCCCATCGCCGCTGTCTTCTGCCTCTGTGCCTGATCGCCAGCTTGCTGAGCCCGATAGTGATGACCAGAGCATTGACAATGACCCTGATCCCGATTCGGCCGCGCAGACGGCCAAGCGCAAGAGGCCCATCTCTGTCTCGTACGTTGCTGTCCAAGTCCAACCTTAATCTGTCCACCTGTCCACCTGTCCACCTGTCCACCACTTATGCTGACGACTTTTGCATAGATGTGAATTGTGCAAGCAGCGCAAGGTAAAATTGTCTTCACATGCTGTCATTTCTGCGCGACTCTTTTATCTTTGCAACTCCTAACGTGGTTTTTTCTCCTGCCGTTTTTTAGGTGAAATGTGACCGTGGCCAGCCTTCGTGTGGTTGGTGTAAGCGCCATGGACAAAAATGCGAGTACAAGGAGCGAAAGCCTCCCGGGCTGCGGGCGGGTTTCGGGAGATTCCTCGAGAATCGGAGCCGAGAAATGGAGCTGAGGCTTGACAAGATGGAGGAGATCCTGCGGCAGCACTCTGAACTGCTGCAGACTTCACCGCTGCCCTCTCTGCGTCCAGACAACGCCGAGTCCGCCGGGCAAACTGGGCGACAAAATCTCGCGAGCGACCATGACACTCAGAGCGAGAATAGCCATACCTTGGGCTCAGCAAAGCTGTATCAAGCTTCGCACCTAAACAACAACGTGCTCTATAACTCTCAACCGACCAACGGCCCTTCTGCGTCCACCTCTGCTGAGCAGGGTCCCAACGAGTTCCATGGTCGAGCGCCTTCAGCCGGCAACATTTCAACACAGCCAAATATCGGCCTGCCGGCAGCCACGCCTACATCAGGCGCTGCTCTCCCCTCGTCCGACGCCGACGATCTCCCGCCGTACAATCTCGTATACAACCTCGTGGATTTGTATTTCAAGCACATCAACACTTGGTGTCCCATCCTGCACCGAAGAACCACCCTAGATAGCTTATTTGGCATCTCCGATCTCCAAGAGTCAGACAGGGTTCTGCTTCATGCGATAGTCGCTACTACAATGCGATTCTCAAGTGATCCTAGGCTTACTGAAGAGCGGCGACAGCATTACCATCGCATATCGAAACAGAAAGTCTTACTCTACGGCATGGAAAACTCGTCCGTTAAGTCACTTTTAGCGTTGCTCATCTTGGCTCTTGACATATGTGGCAGCAGCAATGGCCCCCCTGGTTGGAACATAATGGCTCTCATCACTAGGTCGGTAGTGCAGCTGGGATTATCCGTCGAGACTAATTCCTTCAGCGTGGCTCCCCACTATTCGTCGATATACACTCTAAGAGCCATGATTCTCCCTGAGCCGAAAGACTTCATAGAAGAGGAGTCACGTAGAAGGCTATTTTGGATGATCTATTTACTCGATCGATATGCAACAATTGCTACTGCCTTTGAATTCGCATTAGCCGATACGGAGATTGACCGAATGCTCCCCTGCCGGGATGACTTGTGGATGGAGAATCAAAAAGTAGAAACGCGATGGTTCGCCACGGGTACTCAAAGTTACGATGAGACGCATCAACATCCGGTCGGGAGGCCTGAGAATCTGGGAGCTTTCGCATACTACATCGAGATCTTGGGAATACTGTCAAAAATTCACAAGTTTCTAAAACAGCCAGTTGACATCGGTCGTCTAACTGATGTAGAAAAGTGGCAGCTCCGTTACAAGGAGCTTGACAAGGAGCTGACGTCTTGGAACTTTGCCCTACCTGGCGAGTTTGGAAACATGAACAAAGTTTTCCAGCCAGGCAGCAGAAATCTAAACTGCAACTGGGTTATGCTTCATGCGACGTACCACACAGCGGTCATTCGACTACACTCATCGGCTGCCTATCCAACAACTAGATCGGCAATCTTCACGCCGTCGTTTAGTGCGGCGCAGAGATGTCACGGTGCTGTGGAAAACATATCTGCTTTGGGAGATTTTGTCGTAAACAACGGCTTCCTCCCTAAGCTGGGCCCACCATTTGCCTTCACCATATGGGTTGCTGCGCGAGTGCTTTTGGTTCATGGCTCTACTGTTGAACATAAACTCTCGCCCCAAATCTCATTCTTTGTTGATATACTCCGCGAAATGGGGCGGTATTGGCCTGTAGCTGCTGGATACTCTAGGTTACTGCAACGAGTACTGGACGAGCATCGAGACAGTGAAAGACAGGGCGGCGGAGTCACGCCGAGCTCAGTCAAGATCTTGGCCGACATGCGCAGGACGGCGTTTGATTTGGACTTTTTGATATCACGACAACCCCGGCATGGTGCACAGGGTCTGGGTCACTTGGGAAGCGCAACACCCTCAAGAACGCCGGCACCGAATGAATTGGAGTATTTGGACGTCTTCAACTTCTTCAATGTCCCACGAATTCCATTTAGCGGCGATAACGGTTCTGGTGCCACTGAAGGCTTGATACCAAACCCTGACATGACTTCGGCAAACACAAGCCTAGACCACCCGCAGTACCAGCCGAATGAGTTCAACATCACCAATTTTATGATTGATGCAAGTAGCGACTGGCTCTTCAAAACGGATGGGTCGAGTTTTTAGTCAACATTGACGAGATGTTTAATCAGATTTGTTCTTGGGAGTAAATGAACTTTGAAGATGATTCTTTGATAGCGGTTTCTTGAATTTCTTTCGTCCCTTCTAGCATATTGAAAAACGTATGGAATGGATACCAAGAATGGCTCAGTTGGAGCTGAGCTTTCTGTCGTATATCTAGATGTATGAGATAATATCATAGTAATATATATACTATCGCTTTTTGCATCACTAAAAGATGTAACATTTTCTAACTACTAGTAAGCTCTGTGTGTGGATGATCACCAGTATAAAAGGCATCGTGCTTGGAATAGGTACGTTGTATTTATTACATAATCAGCACCTGGATAAGATAAGATGCAATTTCACACCAATTAATGTGTCACCGCCCGGCAGTATTCTTGGGGAAAAAAAAAAAAAAAGATCCTAGTGAGCGACGACAAAGTGTCTAGCTAGAATTGAGTCTGGCGATTAGTCGAGATTAATTTCTGCATATTACAACAGCGAACATTTCGACCAAAATGGCTACCAAGGCCCCCGCGTTCGCAAATAAGAGAAAGGATGTCTCAGGCGGCAAAGAAAAATTTGATGGCAAGAACAAGAAGCCTCGATTGGAAGATAAATCGAATGGCAAGCCGTCTGGATCAGGTATGCATTACTTCGATTCATGACAATGGATTGATGCTTACCGAATAATAATAATAGAGCAAACCTCCCGCGAGTCTCATGCGAAGCAAAAGCAGCTTGCTCTAGAGCGAAAAGCTGCCAAGCCCCTCGCTGATGAAGTTCAGCGAACCAAGAAGATCTGGGAACGACTGCGCATCAAGTCCCAGGTTCCCAAAGATGAGCGACAGAAGCTTGTGACCGAATTATATGGCATCATTACAGGTCGCGTCCGAGACTTTGTTCTGAAGCATGACGCAGTCCGAGCAGTTCAAACAGCCATCAAATATTCCACCCCAGAACAGCGAAAACAGATTGCTCTAGAGCTTCAGGGCACCTATACGCAACTTGCTGAGGGACGGTATGCCAAATTCCTTATCGGAAAGCTTCTGGTCCACAACGACGATGAAATTCGCGACATCATTATACCCAATTTCTACGGCAAAGTTCGAAAGCTCATCAATCACTCCGAAGCCTCATGGATTTTGGATGATGTCTACCGGACGGTCGCCACAAAGGAGCAGAAGGCTCTTCTACTTCGCGAATGGTACGGACCCGAGTTTGCCATTAAGGAATTGACAAAGGATATCAAGGCCACTTCCGACCTGAAACAAATCCTTGCAGATGAGCCAGCCAAACGAGCTCCAGTTATGAAGAGCCTGTTGGAGCTTATCAACACACTTGTTCAAAAGGGAATGACCGGTTTCACAATGCTACACGATGCCATGCTACAATACTTTACAAATACACAGCCAGGAACTGAGGAGTTTAATGAGTTTGTGGAGCTGGTCAAGGGCGATGAGACCAGCGATTTGCTCAAGAACCTTGCATTCACGCGCTCCGGTGCAAAGCTCGCTTGCCTTCTGCTGGCGTACGGTTCAGCCAAAGATCGCAAGACGCTACTGAAAGCATACAAGGACACTATCCAGCTGATGTCTGGAGATCAATACGGTCACATTGTCATCCTCACAGCTTTCGATGTCATTGATGACACCAAGCTGACCTCGAAGACCATTTTTCCAGAGCTCTTGGGAGAGAAGGAGGAGGAGATGGCCCAGAATGTTGTGGCGGCTGCCAACAATCCGAATGCCAGAATTACCCTCCTCTACCTCCTCGAAGGATTTTCCAAGTCGCTGTTCCCGACCAGCCACGCTTACGATCTGGAGGTGTTGAAGGAGGTTCATGAGATCCGCAAGACTACAAGCAAGAAGGAAGATGATAACAGACGCAAAGAGCTTGCTGCGTTGATATCGCCATCCTTGATAGCCGCCATTGAGGCCTCGCCTTCTGACCTCACAGCTTCCCCATTCGGTAGCCAGTTTGTCGCGGATGTCTTCCTTTCCGGAATCGGAGAGAAGCAGAAAGCGCTCGAAGCGCTCGCCCAGTCAGTTAGCGGCAGCCCGAAGCAGGAGCCCGCAGAAGATGAGATCGCTACTCGGCCACACATTGCCAACACGCCTTTTGGTGGACGAATGCTCAAGTCCCTTATTCAAGGTGGCCGATTCGACAAGGCTGCTGGCAAAGTGAAGCTGATTGACCCGCCATTGGGCTTTGCCAACATTCTGTACCCCGTCATTAAGGATTCTATCATGGATTGGGCTACTGGACCGAGTTCATTCGTCGTGGTAGCTTTGCTCGAGAGCGAAGAGTTTACCAGTGGAGAAGAGTTGAAGAAGACGCTGAAGAAGAACAAGAAGCTGCTACAAAAGGCGGCTGAAGAACCTACTGCGGAGCAAAAGGCCGCAAAGGAGGCCGCGGAAGGCAGCGAGACCGCGAAGAAGGGCAAGAAGACGGAGGCTCCCGTAGGCAACAAGGGTAGCAAGCTGCTATTAGAGAAGCTGTGAAATGGATTATGTCACATCTGGGCTCCATTTTTGGTTTTTGTTTTTCCCCAAATTGCAGCAGCCTAATTTAGTGATTGTTAAAGTGTTTATAGTACTGCTGGATAGAAGGTTTTCAATGTACAATTTTTTTTTTTTCAAAAAGCACTTAAATCTACTTCAACATGTCGTTTTTGTATTCGCGCGGTTCAAGTAACAGCTGTTAGTAGCTAATGTGTTTTGGAATGGACACATACAGCCAACAAGGATGTACAAGGACAAGCCGAAGCGAACCCATAAACTGTGCGTTTCACGGCAGTTATAGAGAGAAGAGATAATAGTAATTCAGTTGGCTTGCGTTCAAAAACCTGCGAGCAGCCGACTTGTTTGGGCCCCTTGTCGCCGCGGAAAGTTTTAGGTGGGTGTGTCAAGGAGCAACCAGCAACATAGTTACACGAAGAGGTTCATTGAGGTTAGTCAGTGAAGCAAAGGGCGCAGAGATGGGATCGCGAACTGGTCCGAGTTGTTCGCTGCGGTATGCCCCGAGATGCATGCGCCTGGCCATTTTCAGGGCCGGGGGGCAATGCTCATGATGCTAGATAGGTTAATGAGGTGTTATCATTTCGGTGAGCGCGATGAGAGATGGCTTGAAATAGATATGATCAATGTATATATGTATGTATATATGTGTATGCTGCTTTTATTGAAGCGTTTGGCAAATATAGCAGTCGTTACACTGCACTGTAGGAACATAATTCAGGAAACGAGGCGACTTGGTGAGAGTCTACCCCCTTGGCAAAGAATGATAGAGACCCCCAATCAGTCTGATGTGGTAACTTGCAAAGACGGCGATGTCTGCGGAGTGATTTGGAGTTCTGCTTCTGCTTTTCCTAAAAGGTTCAGACCAGAGACAGCAATCCAGGCACTTGTCTAGTTTAATACGACCAGTCGTTGTTTGCATCCTTTTCTTGGTTTGCCCTGCGGGTGATTGTTGTTGCACACTCAGGGCCAACACTTACTCCGGCTTTGGGCTCTCGATTCCGTTTGGCGTCAACTTTTTTGTTTTTGCTTGTTTCATTTTCTATCATTTCTTAATTCGTGTCTACACCTGTTTGACCATTCCGCGGAGCCCTTGATGGGCTGTGCGAATCTCATGCATCTCTGCTATTATAGCATCTGACTACACTGCATTTGTCAGTTATAGTAGGTGGATGCTATATCTGGTATCTAGCCTTGCATCACAGCATATCAGGGCACTTTCATTTCCTCTCCCTTTCCCCTTCTTGGTCTCTGCTATTCCCACTTATTACCTCCTCCTACACAGCTGCTGTCCGCTGTGATACGCACACAGAGAGCTTTGGGGGCAGAAAAAACCGACTACAGCTTCAGACAAACGCCGGGCCTCGAATGTGTCCGAGAGACTGCCGAGGGCCTCTGCAAGTCGGCAGCCCAAGTTCTGCAGGCTGCCACCAGCTGGTGTGCGGACCAACCCGCTTTCTGCATCTGCCCTAAAGCCATTGTTTGCAAAACAGGGAAGACGAAGAGAAAGAAGAGAGAAGAATCATTTTCTTTTTTTCCCACCCACTAAGGCTTCATCACCACGGTGTTCTTGTTTGTTCGCCATGGCTTCGAACAGCCCTTCAGCTGCGGATGAAGAGGCTGACTGCTCGAAAGGCACGGCGTTTTACTCCTGCGTAGCCAACAATTTTAGGGGATGTTGCTCCGTGGATCCCTGTGACTTGAGTTCCTGTCCTGACACATTCGGATCTTTGAAGGATCCCAAAGATCCCAAAGATGGCGACAAGAGCATCGTTTCCATGAATGATGAGGCTACACCCACGCCGACAACTCCGTCACGATCAACAGCAACTTCAAAAGAATCTGCAGTCATGACAGACTCTGGCATCACTCACACAATCCCAAACAACTCGATAGTCACAATCACAAGACACACAACCATTGTTACGGGTCGGCCATCAGTGACCACATCAACCAGCTCGGATCCCATCTCATCAACCAGTGGCACGCCAAATTCAGAATCAGCGTCATCAACGTCCGAGGGAGCAGCACTTTCTTCAACCACAGACTTCAGCAGCGCCACACCCTCTTCTGCGAACTCGGGAGCGAGTTCACTCGCGCCAGGGGCCATTGTCGGAATCGCCGTCGGCGGCGTCGCCCTCATCGCCATCATCGTCGTCACAGTGCTCACGCTGCTACGCCGCAAGAAGCAGCGCAGATCCGAAGCCGACTTTGATCTCACTCAAGACAATGGTCGGGATGATGTCGTCGAAGAAAAGCATTTCCCCCATCCTGTGTCGGCCCACACCACAAGTACTCAGGGGAGCAGTGACCCCTTTGCTCCCTTTGGAGGTGAGTTTTGACTCGCATAGTTCCCGAAATAGGGCCATCCAGCTTTTCTCACTAACAAAACGAAATCTAGGCCGAGCAGATAAGCTTGAAGATCCATATCCTCTAGCTAGCGGTGCCTTTGAGATGGATGGAAGCAGCGCTGCCCCGATTGAGCTGCCCGCCATGAGCGTCTCAGGCCCAAGCACAAACGCTCATAAACCATCTCGGCTCGAGCCCGTCCAGGAAGTCACCACTACGGACCCTCGTGCTAACCTTACGTCGGTGCCGATAGACGATGGCAAACCGGTATATGTCAATCACTGGGATCAGTACAAGAATCTAGGATAAAGATAGGGGAGGACCAGATAGGTGTGAAGAGGAAGATTGAGAAAACGGCCATCGCGGCATTATTGTTTCTCGAAAAGATGCGAGAGGCAATACATTCTTTGCCGGTTTCCATCGCATTTCGATTTCTAGCAACTGTGCTTTATAATACCACGAGAGCTGGATCAACACGGAGAGGGAGGAAATTGGTATAAATGATTTTTTAATGATATTCTTTTCATAATCACCTCTGCAAGATAGAATAGCACGGTCGCGCATATAAATTGTCTAGCCGACATAGTATAATCAAAGTCGTTCCCACAGATTATCAAGGGGTATTTGGTAGCTGCCCTACCGTATTTTATAAATGTCCGCGTTGCAAACCAAAATTTTATGACCCTTGCCCCAAGCGCCCAAGTAACAGTAGAAAAAAAAAAGCAGAATAGATGTTGTTTAAAAAAAAAGAAAAAAAAGGACGAGTATGATGCGAACAGCTTGCAGCCTTGATCCCTCTGTATGTATCCGTCTTTGCGTAACAGAACATCAGCAGTCTAGTAATCTCGATTCCCCATGGAGCAATGTTTCAACAGTCGTCGCAGCTATATATCCAGAAGAAGAGACGAGCGCAATGCAATATGTCTCCAGCATCATCGGTTCTGGAGCTTCGAAATCTCATCGAGTAGGTCTTGTAAATCTTCGTCCTTGATTTTATCCGCCAGAGATGGAATCAGAGTCTTGGCTTCATCGGCGTTTTCACAGCAGAGAGATCCTGATGGGGGAAAAAACAGCATTAGCATTTCTGTTTCCGAATCGCAAGTATTGGGGGTGAGCTACCAAGTTGTGCGCGCTCAAACTTGGCCAGGTCCTTGTGAGCGCTGAGCAGACGCTCCACAGCCTCGACGTTCTCCTTCTGGGTGAACCGCGCAAAGTGATCCAAGTAGTTCAGCGTTTGATTCAGCATCCTACAGACAAGATATTAGTCTCATGGTTAGCCATCTGTCGTAGAGAGCGTCCTATTTCCGTCCGGCATCCTCTTGCGTTTTCAATTCTTCCAGCAAACAGGAATTCACATACTCCGTCTCGTTGACATTCTTGCGATCATTTCGGCGCTTCGCGACTAGCGCATTGAGAACCAGCGCGGCTTCTGAGAGTGTGAGAGTATCGACATGCTGGAACTCGCCCAGGTTTAGCGACGCAGAGGCTTCCTCATTGCCTGGTGGAGGCGGCTTCGGGCGTGATGTGCGATTTGACATGGCTGCTGTCGATGTCTGCTGCGTTTATCCTCCCCCTTTCTTTCCTCTGAGTCGTTTATGAAATGCACGTAAGGACAGGCAGCAGCGCGGGGTGCGAAAAACGGGGACGCAATTATGCTGCTGATTTAAAAAGATTGAGCAATTGATTTAGAAGTTGGCGAAGACGAAGCTGAAAGTCAGCAAAATGCGGTTTGGCTTAGAGTTCGACGGGAGACGCTCGCCGCAAAACGCCAAAGCGGCTTAGCGGTGTCACCCCCAGGCGCGTCTAATGCTTCCCTAATAGGACTAGTGTGGATGCTGCTTGTATTTCTTACTCCGTACTCCGTGCCATTGCAACCACAGCCTGGCTCTATCATCGGCATGAAGGGGCCTTTTCAGAGCATAAAGGGTTCAGCTATTTAAGTCGTTCGCATCAGGCTATAAATACTGCATGTCGAAATTGACAAGCTGCGCTAATTTGGAAAATTTTGTCCTGGGAATTACACCGGCGGTTCTTGAGAGCTCATTGATATCGGCCTAAAAGCAGCGACGCTTAATTACGCCGGCCGCTGCCTTTCCATCCCCCGTCCCCGTCGCATGAAGGTGGCTTCAAGATAGCATAACCTCATCGCAAACGACGATATACAAAGACGGCCTGTGAGAAGACATAAGGAATAAAGTGAAATTAAAAATTCAGGGTACGCTTACAACGTTTGCATACCCGCGCAGATGCAAATATAAGCCTGCATTCACACATGAGGGCCTTGAACTCACTCGTCATCTTAGGTTCATGGTCTCACCTCGAGGGACCGATGAGCCTGCAAGGGCCGCGTAGAATACAGCAGTCTGACTCATATATATCTCCAATACTTAATCTACAACATGTATGCACCGATCCTCTGGTCCTATAGGATGAACATGGCTAACCAACTCAAATGCAGGACTGTTTTCTCTCTCGTAATCATCAACAAGGCCGGCGGTCTGATATATAACAAGTCCTTCCACGAGGGCGGCCTCAACAAAATCAGCACCAATGACTACCTCGTACTAGCAGGCACTTTTCATGGGTAAGACCAAAAGTCCTTCTTCAACGTCCAAAACCTGGTTCATATGCTTACCGATTCCTGTCTCTAGAGTCCATGCCATCACTGCGCGCCTGAACCCCATCAAGCCAGTGGCACAGCCTCCTGCTCCTGGCTCAATCGAAATGCCGAGCCGTCCAGAGCCTTCATCCGGGTTGGAAGTCATGGAAACAGAAAACTTCCGCTTGCAGTGCTTCAACACCTTGACGGGCACCAAATTCCTGCTCTTCACTGAAACTACACAAACCAACGTGGACGTCACTATAAAGAGGATATACGACCTGTATGCCGATTATGTCATGAAGAACCCCTTTTACTCTTTGGAAATGCCTGTACGGTGCGACATTTTCGACCGAAAACTACTGTCATACATTAGAGAAATTAATAACCGATAAGAACAAGGGCGTAACCAGAGTCAGCAGGTATAGAATGGAAGGTATTAGGATCAGAGCTAGATTCCATATTAAGTCCTTGAATGAATCGCGATTACCATATTCAGCGTTCTCCTCTAAGGTTCCATTGATTATTTAGTTATACACCCTCTATCGTGGCACTGTGATTACGGTGCGTATTAAGAAGTACCCATCGTATCGTCCTTGTCCTTGCTCGCGCCACCGCCGCTGCCGCTGCCGCCGGCTTCGTTCTCTTCCTTGACACTGTCTAGAGATGCCTTCTTTGCCGCCTCCTCTTCTTCCTTTGCCAGCTTCTCTTGTCTGGCCTTCTCTTCCTCCATGCTCATGCGTAGAGCGAGGGCCAGCTCAGGCTCTAGCGCGGGGTCGAATCCAAACTCAAACTCATCATTGCCGCCGATGCCACCGCCACCCGATCCAGCTCCCTCGCCGAGCATGATGGGCGTTGAGATGAGCTGGTCACTTAGCAGTTTGCTGCTGGGTGGGATGACCACCAAGTGTGAGCCCTCGTTGCCCTTGACAGCATCGTTGAATGCCTGGAGTTTCTTCTGCGTGGCGTCATCTTCGAGTTCACCAAAAATAACAAAGTCGACAGAGATGTTGCCCTTCTTCATCTTCTTGGCTAGCTGCACAAGCTCCTTCTCTTGGTCTTCGACGGGGGAGCAGACAAATGCTATTATTCGTTGGCGCTGGGATCGGTTCTGTCGGTGCTTGAGGGCGAGCTATTGGGTCCAGTCAGCTCAAAAGGCCATCATCAGGCATGCACAAAACGGGAGTACCATACCGTTGCAATCTGGATGCCTGTCTTTAGGTGAGACGATCCACCAATCTTCTTCTTTGTCCTGTGCAGGCCCTCCAAGATCTTGCCCTGCTCTGTGGTAAGGGTGACAAGCACCTCTGGTCCTTTTCCGCCCATGCTCATCAGGCCGACGGATGATTCCGGGTTGCCCTGGGTAATAGTCTGGAACAGCACATTCACGGCGTCAACCTGTGCGTCGAATCGGGTGGGCTGGTAATCTCCATTTCTGCTGCTCTCGCTGTTGTCCACAACCACCATCACAGCCTCGAGAACCATTGTAGCTGCTGATACGGCACTGAGCCACTAGCTTGTTTGTAAAGCGGTGTTGATTGAGAAATTAAGGTCTAGAGATTGCTGTTGTCGTTGGGGAGAAGATGATTAAGATTGAAGATCAAGTAAAGGTGGAGGTGGACTGTCGAGTTCAATTCGACAATTCGGCTTGTTGGAGCTTCGAGATGTCGTAAGGCGGGTTCAGCCTGGTATACATGCACAAGCGCTATGACAGCCAGGTAGTGGTACTTGGATTAGCCCTTATTGGCCCCGGTAACTGCTTCAAGCTAGGTACTGCTACCATTTTGCTGACTGGGCTATTCTATGGGTCGGGCTGCATGATAATGCTTACATAATATCAGTCGCAGCTCGGGCGCCCGTTAGTTTGTTTACTTTGATGCCTGTTGCGCATCAGTGATGCACGCATTCGCTTCCCTTCATGCAAAGTGCGACTTCTGCTCTCCCTCCTCCACCTAAGCCCTGTCAACAAGGCGCAGAAATCATCTATAGTCAGACATCATGGCTCCCACGCGAAACAAAAAGAAGGGATCCACTGAGTCAAGCTCCTCGCAACAGAAGAGCGCGACATACAGCAGCTCAGGCAGCCCTTCAACACCACAGCGAAGTCCAATTCAGAAGAAGAGGACGGGAATCACCATGCAGCAGAAACAAGCCTTGATCGAGAACCTGCGGCTCGAAAGTACGCGGTTTTGCCATCTCATGGATATACGGCGCGCTAACATTTTCTCTCTCTTTTTCTTTTCTAGTTACTGAGCGAGCTCGCAGGTTACGCGCTCAATACCATCTCCAAGCGCAAGGCCTCAGGTCACGAGTCGAGATACGCCTCAACCGAATTCCTACAGCAATTAGAAGGGCAACTATGGGCGAACTGCTCCTCAAATACGCAGAACAAGCTCAGCGAGCGCCTACTCCTCGGCCGTTGCCAGTTCCTGTCAAGGATCTGCCATTACCGCCGAGTCCTCAAAAGCCTATCCACCAAACCACTCGCGCGCCACAGGTTGTTGGACGCGCCCAGAAGCGGTTGAGGTGAATTACGCCTGAATACGCTTTGTGCCTTTTTTTTTTTTTTTTTTTAATTCTTTTCATTTCTTCATTCTCTCTAAACTAACCGATACCAGCGATGAAATTACTAGGGATAAGGAGAATGAGAATGTTGACGAGAATCCTAAGAAGAAAGCTCGCGGCGGTGATGCTGGCGTAGTCCGCCCAGCACAGGTCTTATCGCCTACGTCGTCCAACTCGCGGTTGGCGAACCGCAGTCGTGCGACTTCTCCTACCAAGTCGTACCTGTATAAGGCCAGCTCTCCTTTGAAAGGGGGTAGCCCAGCCCGACCTACAGCTGCGGCTGCTGGCGCTGGTGCACGTGCTGGAGGGCTGAGAAAGGTTACCACAACATCAAATTCAAGCGCCAACTCGGCTACCCCGACAACGCGAACAAAGCGCGCAGCTACAGCCGCGCCCAAAGGCCCTCTATCCAGGCCTGGGACACGAACGGCACGCAGAGCTAGTGACGTAGACGAGTCGAGTGATGGGAGCGCGAATACCGTGCTCCGAAAGGCTGTAGGGATGGCAAATACCGCTGCTGCGCGAAAAGCTGCCCCTGGTAGCGCTAAAAAGGTTGCTTCGCGAGGAGTAGCGAAATCAACGGCGAAGGCTGGATCCGCTGGATCAACCGCCGCTACTGGGAGGATACTAAGAAAGAGAACCTGAAAGGCGTCATCAGCTTCTGGGAAGCTTTGCGTGTTCAAGGAATGGGAAGCTCATGTTTTGTGCTCATGTTTTACAAGGGATACATTGGCGACAGGGAACTGTGGGAATAGCTTGAGGCCGCCGAAAGGCCGGAATGATTTGTTCTTTTCTTGATACTGGAAGGGCAATGCGATACGGAGTTTGGGCATGTAACAAGACTATACATTGTTGGACTAAACAAGTAGGAATCAGGCGTTTTGGGTAGTTTCAGCGGGAATATATTATTTCTTCTTCGTGTCATCCACTAGATTTCTTCTTCTTGTCATCCACTAGCTCGATATTGTCTTCCGGTACATCCTTGTATTTTTCCAGAATGAACTCTTCTAGCTCGTCGCTGACGTCTCCTTGAACCACGATTTCTTCACCGCCGCTAGGAAGCTTTGTAACAGAAGATCCCGTTGCGAATTTCTTTCCGAAATCCTTGGCAACCTTGAGAAAGAAAACGACAATCAGTACCTCTTCAGTTCAGAGAGCAAAGGATACCGTAGCAAAAAGCATACCTTTTTCAAATCCAAACCAAACGCTTCCAGACCAATAACAGCCGTGACAAACTTTTTCTTGTTTCTCTCGATTCGCTTAATGGTGACGACGCTCGAGGCCAGTTTACTCGCCTGCTTCTGCTCTGCAGCCTCGGCCTTGGCAGCCTTCTTCTGGGCATCCTTGGCGGCTCTCTTCTGGGCATCGACGGAGAGGGCAGCGGTGGCTGCTTCTAGGGCTTCGGGGGACCATATCCTGGAATACATGTCCGGGTGGTGTTTCTCGAGCCATTCCTGGCATTTTCTGACGGTGCCGCCATACTCGCAGTACTACTTGGTTATAGTTGAGCCGTCAGGTTCACATTGGAATCTTCGAGATGGTGTCTTCTCTTGTTGTTTATTTTCATACCTCTGGCGGCAGAGTACACACTGAAAAGAACAAGCAGGAAGTTAGCAACCGCAAGCAGTCATCCATCCATTGCTTAAGAAAAGCTGGACGAAATTTTCACAGAGAAGAGAGAGGAGCTTTGCCGTACCTCCACAGTAAATCACATTTCTGCCCTGCAGCTCCACGGGCGCCTCGGATTGTTCTGCGTCTGCCATTGTTTGCTGGCAGAAAAGGCTGAGCTGAGCTGGTGTTCAGGAGAGAGAGCAAGACGCGCGCTCTCTGTACTTTTGTCCAAAGTCACAACCAAAACGCATGGCGGGGTAGATTCAGCGACTGCATGGCGGGGCTGCTGTTCCCACTGGCGACGTCAATAGCGAGGTACCTGAGTACTTATGTTTTTAGTGGAAGGAAGGTCTTGTCTTTAGCGGGAGCCTCCGCCCGGTTGTGGCGGTGGCTACTTGGACACCTGAGGCACGATACCTCATGTCTAGTCGCCATACGATTCAATGAAGCAATTGATATATACCACCGTCTTTCTCTTCCTTGTCTTGCTAGCGCTTTTGTTTAATTGCACTGAGAGCCTCTCGATCAGTGTGATAGATTCTTAGTGCATCATTACTATCATTGGACGATTAAGAACGACCTCCTTCATTGGCCCGGGACATGTATAGGTGAACCAACGATTCGGCATAATGTGAAATGAATGGTAATCATTTTAAAAAAAAAGAGGTAAGAATTATTGAATTAGAGATACATGTCATGATATCACTATTGTAGTCCTGACCACTACAATCTACGAGTCACACCTTTTGGAAGATGTGAGGAAGCTTGTCCCACAGGTACCCAGCCACAGAGCAGACAATGGTATAATGAAGCAATCTCCGATGTTGGATAGAGTCATGTGTTCAGAACTTGTCAGTGCGTATATAGCGTTCCAGAATTGCCCTCGATGCCGCTGCCGCTGCCGCCGCCGCATAATTCTGCCATCCCGGATGCTTATGACTGTCCGCATAGTCGCGCACTCCCTTGACTACAATGCAGGGCACCTCATCCCAAATCCCAGCGCCCTCCGTCCCAAACGCAATGACACCTGCTTCTCTTGAAAGTCTGTCTCTTTCCGCTGCCGACTTTATCACCTTGTCTCCTGATGCGACAGCTCCCACATGCACCGTAGGCTGTGGAGTGTCACTATTTGAGTCGTGAAGCCGTCTCCTTGCAATATGTTGTTCATCGTCGCATCCAAGGTCCTTACATGGTGAGCTAAGCGCCTTTTCGCAGACGGAGTCTGAGTCCTCGACACAATGGCGGCAAATACAGGTCGGCGCTTTGTGATGCTTGTGTCGGTGCGTCGGCTCAAATAGATTGTCTTCCGCTATTCCTGGGTAGTCATACTTGCCCCGACGCCTTCTTTGGGCAGCATTGCCTTGAAGCCGTTGGAGGAAATGGGCAGTTCCTTCCTCGAGCTGATCGATGCCCCGATCAGTCTCGAATATGGTGATGAGACCACGGATATCTTTATTTGCCCGGCCAAGATTATCCTCGACAGTGTTCTTGTGTACAAACCTATCCGGATAATGCCAGCCAATATCGTTACTGGGAAACGGTCTTACTAATGATAACATCGCCCAGGAAGATTTCTTCATGTTGGTCAACACGCGGCACACTCCCACACACGCCTGTAAGGAGGGCGAGCCGCACGCCGGTATAGCTCGACCGCATACTTGCTGCCGCGCTGGCTGCGCCGGCATTGCCCATCTGTGGCAAAAGGGCTAGGACGACGCTGTAGTTGCCCATACGGCCAGTTGTATAATGGTTGATATCGCCCGCAGCTCGTCTATACTGATCACCATCATCGTCCCAGAACTCGTCAAAGGTGTAGGAAACTGCATCGTACTCAAGCGGTAGAGCGCAGATGATTGCGATGTCGAAGTCGCCCCGACGAGAAGGTCGCATAGAGTGTCTGTTCCCAAAGCACCTTGGTAGTATGAACAGTTAGCGACAAGTCACAATAAAAATTGATTCAGATTCCTTCTCGTCCAGCTTGTTGATTTGCGCAAACCAGCATCTGCATTGCGAATGTTCTGTGAAAATGAACATTGTATGTAGGCATTGATAAGGTCCATAATCTCTGCTTCGAAGACATATCAATCGAATAAAAAAAGGGAAGTATGTTGTTAGATAAGAGAGTAGGAACATACGAATCTGCATAACCGCTGGTCAATCCTTTGCGTTCATCGTTACATAAGTTGCCAGATTCTCTGAGGATTAAACCGGGTAAATCGGGAGGCGCTTGTGGCTTAGGCATGCGTCGTTTTTTATATCTACTATGAATTGTTTGTGCAAGCTCCACGGACGCGGATCGTTTTGCCATCTTTGTAGAGTTAGAGGCTTGATCCCTGTCCCAGCGGCCGGATTGAGTTGGCGAATGTGGTCGTTGCCGTTTTCGAGTCGACACAAAGTTTGACTGATCATATCCAAGCTTGAGCTTATGAACAATTTCTTTGTAAAGATGTTTTCTTATTATTGAATCCACATCTTTATCCTTAGAACGGCGGGACTTCAGCGCATGTGATATCACATAAGGAGCCATAAAACAGCCCCTGATAGCTTCGACGTATGAGTCGCTTCTCTCCTGTTCAAGTTGTTCTATGCGAGTCAAAAGCTGACACCAGGCTTGAGTATTTCCGCTGAAATCAAGGCTTATGTCGATTTCGATGTTTTGGCCAAAATCCAATTCTAGCAACAGTTTTGCAAAAGACAATAGTGTAGGGTGACCCATCCGGAAGATTCCCACGTCAGTTGATACCGGAATATCTGAGGCAAAAGCTAGGTACGGATGACGATCCCAGAAACAGATCCTTTTCGAAGCAAAATCGGCGTCGAAGAAGTTCATCAGGCAAAACCCGAGCTTGACGGCAAGCTCTCGCCTATCTTTAATGCTGACCCTAGCCGGTAATATTTCATTAGATATGTTAGGGTTAAAAGATCTGAATACGCCATTTAGGATAAGTTGGTCGAGAGACTCATTCATTGACGAACTTGTCATAGAACACGTAGAGTTTGACCAGGTACCGAACAGCTCGAACTTTTCATTATCCTCAAAATGCAATACCAACGCTTTTCCTTGCCCAGTATACCGGCGGAGATTCATACAAAAATCTGATGTGGAAAAAGTCGAAGATCGTCTAACAACTATGTAAGTAAAAAAAGAAAAGGGTAAAGAAGTAATCCTTGAGATGAGCAGGTAATATAGCAAACATACGGATTGACAAAATCACACCGGGCTTCTTGCCATAGATTTAAATCTAAACATGGCGAAAGCAAGACTTGCAGGTCCGGTAGTATTAAATCCTCATCAGGATCTTCAATAAGTTTTAACAGTACTTCATGTGGTGTTCCGCATTTAAGGTTTTGAAATAAAGACCTGAGAGCCAATTTAGCCTGGCTCCGTATTATACCTTCCTTCCAAGCCCCCTTTTGGTGCTGCTGCTTTTGGAGTGGTGGAATAACTGGCTCTTGTAAAGGCGGCGCGAGGAATTTGTTAACGGCCTTGTTACATTCTGTAATCACCCGTAGGCATTCGCCAAGCTCATCGGCGCCGCCAGGAAGTTCAAATAATGTTTGATTGTGGCCGTTCGCTAAGTCGATTTCTCCAGATGTTGTCTGCAGAAGCTCAGGTAAAACTCGTAAACGCGGATAAGCCAAACGGTCAGCATGAATATAAGGAGCCCGCGCAAGGCCGTCCAATAACGAACAGAGACTACTCAAATGTGTTTGGCATTGTTCGAACTCTGTTTTATCCAGAATCCGCGAAATTTGCTTGACTGTAAATACGCCGCGAAGTTCTGTCTCGATGAGCTCGGCGTTGAGATTCACTTGTCTGTGATCCCTGAACTGTCCTGTTGTCACATGGTATCGTGCCTTCCTCTGGGCTAATAGACGAGCAATCTCATCGAGCAAGCGCCATTCATTCGAGTCATTAAGACAAGGCATTTTAACTACCTATTCATACCTCATTCACCTGAGGTACCTGTGCCTACCTAGATAGCCTGCTCGAATATCTCGGATCGAAAGAGGGCGCGGAGGACGAGGATCCAAGTGAGGATGTGCGGGGTGAATATAGTAGTACCTAAGCTTGCTAAGGTATGTACCATGCAGGTGTACACCTACTATATACATGTATGTACTCGCAATCGTCCCCACCAGAGACGGGCTGATAGGATCGGCTTGAAAGACGCATGGAAGTCACATCAATCATCTGCTGCTATACCCCGCTCGGGCTTCCATAGCTCACAGTAAACTTGATATTCTGTCTAAAATACCGTTGCGCATCTCAATTTATCCGTTGATACCCTAGTTATTTGCCAACTGCTTCTCAAAATGGCGCTGAAACTCGATAATGAAGATGTTCTTTATAGGCTGGCTTGTGGATGTGAAGACCTTTTCGACCAACTTCAAGAAGCTTTCCTAAAAGCAAAGCCGAGGGCTTCAGGTATCGAGCAATGTACAGAATTTCAGCAACGATTTTTCGATATGGGCTGCATACCTTGGAGTGTATGCTCAGAAAAGCCAATGTCTAGATACAAGACTACGAAATTTCCCTGACCTTCAAGATCTGGCTACCCGATTACTGGATATCCTCCGCTGCAGTTTACATCAGTATAAAGATGAAATAAGTAATCAAGAAAGAGACCAGGCTTCAATAAGTTCCGAAAAATACCAGTTTCAGGCTTCTTCGAGGCTATCAGCATTCCTAGCAGCAATCGATAACACGCTCGCTCGACTGAACCGTCTAGGTGTTACTATTCGCCAGTCAAGTCAAGATAAGATCCAAATACAAATTGAGAAATCTACCGCTCATCTTGATTTGACATTATTTACTTATTCTTGCACAAACGCTGTTCAGACCCTATATCCTGGTGCTCATCAACGCCTCAAAGACTATCTTAAAGAGTCGATGATAAATAGATATAAAAAGATGATGCATCATAGCTCTCGCTCTATGAAGCTCAGCATTCCCCGAGAATCACATAAAAAGCTGTCGTCTATCCCAGAAGTACCTAATGACGAACTGCAAACCATTATTCCTGTTATCCAGCAAGCGGAGATAGTCCCAGCTTCATTTCATCAGTCTGGAGCACATGCACTTGCAGCACCCTCTCAATCTGACTTATCCAGCGTCAACATTCAACGGATCTGGGACCGCCTCAGACCGCCCGATGAAGCATCAACAAAGTTTCATAAAACATCATCAATCCAAGTGAGCCAGGGCAATTACCCACGGCCACCCATTCCAAACAAGAACAAAGATATCTTTGCTTGTGAGTGGTGTTTTGAGCCGCTTGACAAGAAAGCACTCTCGGAAAGTGAATGGCGGTATGTGATGTTGACCCTTTGATCATACGAACGTCGGCAAACTTTTAATAGCTCTATCTATGACTTAAATAAAAGCTGCAATTTGTTTATAATGAGAGATAGATTGCACTAACTTACGCATGCCCTTTTAGTCGACATATAGATCGAGATCTCAAGCCTTATATTTGCCTCTCAGAAAAATGTCAAGAAGCGCACCCAGTCTATTCTACCTTTAACGACTGGTATAACCACATGAATGGTCACAGTCGGCGTTGGTATCAGCAAATATATCTGTCACCTACCTGGGTATGTACTATTTGCGAGTTCAACTCAGGTGTTTATAGCAACCCACAAGACTTATACTCTCATCTCCAAGAATCGCATCATGGTGATTATACAAATGAGCAACTTCGTGTTTTCTCGCAACAGAGCAAGATAAAGCAACCAAGGGCTTGGGATAATTGTCTTTTGTGCGGGTTTATAGTAGAAAGGGAAGATACTAGGGGCACAACGGGGTCTCTTAAGCGAACAAGCGGAATACTAAAGCACGATGCCTTTAAAAGCGCCAGGAAGACATATTCGATGATGCATCCTGGTCATTACAGTTCCGACGACTCTGACGACTCTGACCTCTTAGACACCTCTTCTAACTTAGAGATGAATACTCTTCAGCAAAGACCACAGCGGACAGAAGACCGCTCAAAGGCTATAGCCCGTCACATTGCAGTGCATCTGCAACTGCTAATGCTTTTGACGTTGCGCTTTGCAGCCTTACAGAAAAGCGATAACGACCTGGTGGATGATGATCTGAAGAGTGACTATGTCGATATCGACGATGAAGAAAGCTCCCTGAAAGGCAGTGACCCAGAAAATCTTTTAGGCATCAACTCCAGGAGAGATGTCACCATGGAAGATATTAGCGACGAAGCCGACTCAGAGGTCGCTAAGGATATCCATAATGACTTGGTGGAGGATGATATTCCAGTCCCCGACACAGACCTTGATCTCGACGATATCCCTAGACAATATAATGGTTTGGTAGCCGAGAAGGACGCCTTCTTAAAGGAGATAATCGAATCTGGAGCTTGGCAGCCTAGGCAAGATGAGACCAAAGAGCCTATACGCTATGAAATCGAAGACTATAACATTGGATGGATCTGTGCTACCCATACGGAGTATGCCGCCGCCGTGGCGTTTGTCGCCGAAGTTCATGAGAAGCCTGAGAACATATCCGTTTTTGATTGTAATCATTATACATTTGGCCGAATTGGACGACATAATGTCATTGTTGCTGCTTCTCCAATCGCTGCTCATGGGCAATCACCTACGGCAACTAGTGTAGAAGATATGTTATATACCTTTCATAACATCAAGGTCTGCTTGCTAGTGGGAATTGGCGGTGGTGTTCCCAGCACAGATCATGATATCCGACTTGGTGACGTTATAGTGGGTTGTCCTTCTTCAGCGACAGAAGGCGGTGTAATCAGGTACGTGTCTAGAAGGACTGCACAAAGCGACGATTATGCTCCGAAGGGATCCTTGAGCCAGCCACCGACGATTTTACAAAGAGCTATTGAAACAATTCGGTCGCGGTATCGAGAAGACGGGCATATGTTGAAAGAGGCGATCAGCACCGTGCTTGACAAATACACGTATGGAGCGCTGAGGGAGAAATATAAACGACCTGCCACTGATATTCTCTACCGGTCGCACTTCGTTCATCTTGTAGATGGTGAGACGAATTGTGCGGCAGCCTGTGGTTATGATCCATCAAACTGTATCCAGCGGCCTCAACGGGTTCGAGGGGTCGAAGACGATCCAACAATCCACTATGGCCTTATTGGTTCAGCAAGCTCAGTTTTGAAAAATGCCTTACTTCGAGATAAATTAGCTGAACAAGAACATATCCTTTGTTTTGAAAGAGAAGCCACGGGGCTGATGGAGGATTTTCCCTGTGTGGTGATTCGCGGCGTCTGCGACTACTCAGACTCACATCACAACAAAGATTGGCAAGGCTATGCAGCAATGACAGCCTCAGCCTATGCAAGGGATCTTCTTTACGAATTATCTCCAACACAAGTGGAAGCTGAAACCACCGTTAGCGATATTTTGTCCAGGAAGTCTCAACGCTTGAACTCTTATGAAAAATTAATACGTATTTAAAAATATAGCTATATAAAGAAGATATAAATCGAGATACTACTTATTGTACGTAGGGATATTGCACAACTTTGTTCGGGTGGTGCAAATGATTACTTGAAACTACAGGAAACTTGAATATTGTATTTGCCTTGGTACCTTACCTTAGTACTAGGTACCTACCTAAAGGTACCTAGGTACAGAGAGTTGGTGTTGCATTTTATACATGTACCTTAGGTATTGGCCATGGTCTGCTGTAATAAACAGTTGCTTCAGATAACTACTAGGTATCTCCTAGAACTTTTAGACTTTCAATACTCAATTACAGCATCGCAAGTTAGCCTCTGTACTAGGGCTCCATCACGAGGCCTTGCAGCTGACAACAAATATTTTAATGGATACGCGTTCAAATGAAAGAGCCGGCTTTCTTTTTGGCATCTTCCTTTACTAGTTGTCTTCCTGACGTCTTGATCCCATTGCGCTGGCACTCTTGATGCATATCCGCCAGCTGCTCGCCAGTAGCGCTGGTCGCTTAACGGTGGGCACGCTCTTGAGCCGGTGATATCTGCAAAGTGCCGCCAACGCTCGCTTCTTCTGCATCAATAGTCACCGCATTAATACGAACCAGGTTTCCTGACTCAAAAGGCTATTGCAAGTCCATCTCCATCTATTGGACTTTGTGCCACCACGATGCTTGCCAGGTGCAGCTGCCCCTTGGTGACAGCAAGCATGTTAGCCGCCCAGCTCTGGCGGAGGCCATCGCCATTGGCCGTGACCCAATCTCGACTCCCCACGGCGGCTGGAGTGTGTGTAGACGCCAGCCAGTCATCGCCGCGCCAAGAGGGCGCGCTAGGCGATGGCCTAAATATAGAAACGAAAGTCGACGGCTGATTGGAAGCTTGCTTTTTCAGTAGCTCAACTACGATCTGAGTTCAGATGGAACATCGTCTATGCCTCTGCCCACTACGCACCATGACGCGCTTCAAGCCGCCCAGAAACCAAGGCATGCCGGGATCAGATGCGCCAGCGCGGCGATATGCGATATTACCTGGCACTTGGAGCTGCCCTGTGTCCGCCACATCTGCTCTATTCCCAAAATGCACCGCCTCGTCCGATGGGCGGGAGCTTGACGACTTATACGCGCCGAGCATCTGTAGCCGCCCATGCCCCATCAGTTACTCTTTCGCTCTCTAATAAGACCCAACCGTTCCTAACCAACAACGTTCCCTCTCTTTTGCATACACTTCTCTCTTTTTTGTTTTCTTCTTTGCGACCTCGCGCCTGTGTGCACCTAATAGAGGCTTTGTTGACCAAAGCAGCCCATCGTTCGAGCTTTTTACATCGTCGCCGGCCGTCGAGCGTTTTAGTCGTTACTACTTTATTAATTATTTCGCCAACTACGCTATTCTAATTGTTGCTTTTTCATTTCTATTGTTTCGTTTCCTGCGGGGAACATTGTGGCCGCTATCCGGAATAGTGCCTATAGTCTATCTTTACAATGGCTGAGCCAACACACTATATACCCAACCAACAACAACCCCAAGAGTCTTCGCTGGATCGAAGACCAAGGAGGTTTCTTAATCCTTTAATTGAAGAGAAAACTGGAGATGCCTATGGAGAAAGCAGCGCAAAGGGAAAGCGAGCTGATACTTCGCATCTCAACATCACAGCATGGCTATCGCCCATGAGCGACCACTTCCCTACTCCAAGGGGAGTGCATTATCTCGCTGCTCCGATTCTTCCATCATCGCCGTCGTCAATGTCAGCCGATGAGAACTCGCCAACGTCAATTTCGAATTCAAACTCGTGGAACCGAGCTAGCTCGATCACTGATAGCACCGATAGCACCGAGTTCGACGAGCTATATGATCTCTATGGCGTATCAGACGACGAGGCACAACAGGGGCTGCGTCGTTCGTCGGCTGTACGAAAATCTCGAACGACATCGATGCTGTTTGAGCCCGTTATTCGAGGACCGACTCCTCTTGCCATCCCGCCTACTAGAGATGAGAACGATGAGATCTGGTCTGCCGTGGATGAGCTCAAGAAAATCACGTCTCCGCTTCCGCTGACTCCATCTGCAAATCTCCCAATGTCGCCGGCACAGAAAGACTTCTTTGGCAAGCAGCAGGCTTTGGTAGTTCCCACGGTCTCTGCACCACCGTCTCTCGATGGAAGCTTGTCTTCAGAGCAGCTCGCTACAATGAGCTCTCCTCCAACCCCTGTGATTGGCAACGATGAAGCTACCACGGAATCGACCTGGACAGGCGTGCATTTGCAGCCCGGAGCATTGGCAACTTTGCATGCTTTGTCCGGCGGGGATGAAGATGGCAGTCTCGAAGAGGAGGATAATGAAGCTGTCCAGGCCGATCAAATGCAGCCCGCTCAGGCTCCAGAGATGCAGCAGAACTCTCTCCGACTTGTTACCGATTTCCTGTCTCAAGCAGCATCGCGGGCAAACACTCGTTCGCCCATCCTTGCTCGGCAATCTCTTGCAGGACTTACCAGGCTCAGTATCCCGTCTCCAGGTGGCTTCTTTTCCGGCCTGTCGCCTCAGAGCAGGAATACCTGGCATCCAAGAACCCTTACGCCAATCGAGATAATCCCCACCACCACAACAGCAGAGCAGTTCTACCGCTGCCCCTGGAATGCCGATAGCTCTCCTGTTCCTCCGGTACCTCAGCGAGACGAAGCAGAGGATTTCTATCGAAGCGTGAGCCTTACATCATCTGCACCGGTTGAGCATATTGTGGAAGTTCGAGCCAGCCAGATTATCGACGAGGATGATATGCCCACTGCTAGGCCCATCATCCACATACCAACAAATAATGAACCGAGCGAGGCCATGAAATCTCCTTCTTCTCCTGATGTCGAAGCTATTCCAACTGAAATTGTCGAAGATTATGACCCTAGCTATGCCCGAAAGCAACAGCTAGAGGCCTTGTCAAACCTTGATCGTACTGAGCTGTGGCTCATGGCGCAGCGAGTATATCTTAAAGGCGTAGACACTGTCGAAGATAACGGTGCTTTGGAGACGATTGAAGAAGACTTGGACGAGGAGGATGAGGACATGGCCAAGTTGGATATCAAGCCCTTGTCTGAACCAGTGCAGAAGCCAGGCCAGAAGGACGCAGCGACAAAGAAAGTAGTTCGATTTTCCAACATCATTACGACAACGGTGATCGCAAAGAGCCTTCCTTCAAAGCTCCTTCGCCAGGAATCCGCGTACTATAGAGCGTTCCAGGACTACGTGGTCCGAACCCAGCTGAGCGACATCTTTGTTTTCCAACTCTCCCGGTTTGAAGCCCTTCAGGCACAGAGGGTAGCACTTCGCTCTGCTCACCACAGCCAACTGCTTGGAAAGTATCAGCTTAGCGTTCTCCCCCAGTCTGCTAAGAAGCGCCTGAGTGCAAACGTCGTGCGTGGCGATGATGTCCTGCTTGATGATCCGGAAACGCTACGAAAGGAGAAGGAGGCCGAAGCTATGAAGCAGATGGCCATGGCCACTTGGCATGTAGCAGCAATGAAGTTTCTCAACGGCGGAAAACTCATTTCTGCCCCTGTTGCCAAGCGACTGGCCCGGCTCTCACGACTGGGATCAGGCAAAGATGGCGTTGGCCGTGACCGAGCTAGGATCTTGGATCTCGGTGGTCAAGCTACTTGCGATTGGGCATGGCACTGTGCTCTTACCTACCCAAACGCCAAGATTTACACAGTCACTACCAAGGCAGTTCGCCAAATGTCCAACTCCAATATCCGAGGCCCACCAAACCATCGCCAAGTTGCCGTTGAGCGGCTCACAAAGCTTCCCTTTGCAGATAACCAGTTTGACTTAATCTCTGCTCGTGAGCTCCACGGTCTGCTCAAGTTTATTGGTGAAAACGGCGAGGATGAGTGGGAGAGCTGCCTTCAGGAATGTATGCGAGTTCTGAAGCCTGGCGGCTACCTTGAGTTTTCCCTGCTCGACTCAGATATCATGAACGCAGGTCCATTGGGCCTTGCCAAGAGCGTTGAATTTGGCTTCACCCTCAAAACCCTTGGCTACGACCCCAACCCAACAAAGTTGTGGCTAGGCCGACTTGCTCGTGCTGGTTTTCGCGATGCTCGCCGTGCCTGGCTCTGTCTTCCCGTTGGAGCCAAGCAAGTCGTCAAGCCTCCTACTCCTCCTCCCAAAGACAACCTCCCAGGACCAGACGCTAAAGTCTGCCAGATGGACGCAATGGTTATGGGAAGCACAGATGACATTGCCAACGTTTGCGGCATTGCCGGTGGCTGGAGCTGGGAGAGGTGGCTTCTCCGATGCGAGATGGAGAAGGTCGCCGGCGAACTGAGACTTGTAGACACTGTCACCGCTAGCCCGGCTATCAAGGAGGCGAGCAAGTGTCTGGAAGGTATGCATGCTGTGATGGAAGAGGGGCGCAACTGCAGAGCAGGCTTCCGGATGCTTAACGGGTATACCAGGAAGCCTCTGGCGACAAGTGCGTGATGCCTCTTGCGTCGGCGATATTGGACCAGGACGTTCATTCATCTTTTTTTTTTACCTTTTCTTTTGTAAGGGATTAGTTGGATTTGTTTCGTTATCATACACGACTTTGAGGGAAAGTAATCGAAACACTAGTGTGGCAGTTTCTCGTCCCTGGATGGACGATGTGCTCCTATGTAAAGGGGAGCAAATAAACAGGTGGAAGTGGAAGAGAGAGGAGGATTCTTGGACAACGTTTAGCTATAGCCATTATCATATACCCACCAATTTGAAACACGAAAGGAAATGAATATCCAATGAAATATACTATTTATACAAATCTTCTAATTCGCAAACAGGAGCTGTATAACTGATTTGGTGATTTAAAAACAATGATAAGTAGTGCTCAGCTCTTCGTCGGATGCCTTAGGTAAGCTTCTGAGCCAACGCGGGGAAGAGTGGGCGCATTCCATTCGCCGAAAAAATAGAGCTTGTGCCGCCGAGCTAGTTCATGCAGAAGCCGGCAGGCACCGTTCGACTTACTAAATCGCAAACATCACCACATCGACAGCTGGAGCTAGTTGATGCCTCGAGACAGTGGGAGGCTCCGACATCCCCAGACATTCGAAACCGAGCGCTAATCGGAGTACAGGATCCAGAGGCGAAATGTCGAACCCCAACAATTGGCAGGAGGAGGCGATGCGCCGTCTGCGTCAGATGCAGACGCGGGGCGGCTATCCCGGAGGACGAGGGCCTCAGATGCCCAGAGGAGCGAATCCCGCGCTGTTTGGAGGAATTCTGCTGGCCGGCGGTGCTTATCTGCTGTCGAACTCGCTGTTCAACGTGGATGGTGGTCACCGAGCGATCAAGTACCAGAGATTAACGGGCGTGAGCAAGGAGATTTACAGCGAAGGTACGAATGCGATGATGAGTTTTTTTCTCATTGAATTGAAAGCAAGACGGGGATAAACGAGAATGCATAGGCTTTGAGCTTGAAGCGAACCAAGGCTGACGAGTGCGACTTGACAGGAACACACATCAATATCCCATGGTTCGAGACGCCCGTCATCTATGACGTACGAGCAAAGCCGAGGAATGTTGCCTCGTTGACAGGCACCAAAGACTTGCAGATGGTCAACATCACCTGCCGTGTTCTCTCAAGACCAAATGTCGAATCTCTGCCCCAGATCTACAGAACGCTTGGAACCGACTACGATGAGCGAGTGCTGCCTTCGATTGTGAACGAGGTGCTGAAGAGCGTCGTCGCCCAGTTCAATGCCAGTCAGCTCATCACCCAGCGAGAAATGGTTGCCAGACTAGTACGAGAGAATTTGTCGCGCCGAGCTGCGCGATTCAACATTCTGCTTGATGACGTGTCTTTGACGGTAAGCTAATCACTCTTTTACTCCAAAGGTATCCAAGAACGTAGCCTAATGTCTCTCTGCGATGTTTAGCACCTCGCCTTTTCCCCAGAATTCACAGCTGCTGTCGAAGCCAAGCAGGTTGCGCAACAAGAGGCGCAGCGAGCAGCCTTCGTCGTCGACAAGGCCCGACAGGAGAAGCAAGCCATGGTTGTCAAGGCACAGGGTGAGGCTCGATCTGCTGAGCTGATTGGTGATGCGATCAAGAAGAGCAAGGCCTACGTGGAGCTGAAGAAGATTGAGAACGCTAGGCTCATTGCCCAACAGCTGCAAGAGTCTGGAGCGAAGAACAGACTGCTTTTGGATGCTGAGGGTCTGGGTCTCAATGTCTTTGAGGACTCAGAGAGGAAATAAGAAAAGCAAAAATAAGGAGAGGTTGTGGTGGATGTGGACGAGAAGAAATAAATCTCCGCTGCATGCTTGACTGTACAAAAATGAAACAAAAAAAAATTGTATTACTATAATGAGAATCTTAAGTGGAGGGTATGCTGGGCCCAAACGCTGGTCACTGCAATATACTTCGTGCAAAATCCTCTCTCAAACTTTTAAACTAAACGGACGTGAGAATGTAATCCCTAATATTCTCTTCAAGTACACATATTAAGATCCTTGAATCAGAAAAATGCTCGTAATCCTTCAACGGGCGGTAGAGCATTCTTTGTTTGCAGCATCTCCAGGCTGCTATTCATTGAAGGGAACCCGCTAACTGCCTAATAGCATCGCCTTCCAGGTGGCGCGAGGCGCGCATCCGGCACCCCACTAGGCTCCCGCATCCCACTTCCAGCTTCCGTGCCGTCACTCTCAGCCTTGCTTCTTAAACTTGTCATCCTGTGCAAACAGTGGTCGAGACAGAGCTTTTTTTGTGCAAGCAAGTATCCAACACATCCGAGCCTGCAACAGGATACGATTTCGTGCCACAAGCCCAGCTTCGATATAACCGCTGCTTCACGCCACCACCGCCAATATGTTGATCAAGTGAGAAAGCTTCCCTATTCTCTTTTCTTGGGCTTGTTTCAACAAACGATGCATGAAGCTAAACGAAACTTGCAAACGGACAGAGTGCGAACCTTGACCGGCAAGGAAATTGAGCTCGATATCGAGTCGGACTACAAGGTATACCCTTATTCACCGAACGGATCTACGGTCGAGGATGGCAGCTGAATAGCTTCATATACAGGTCTCTCAGATTAAGGAGAAGGTGGAAGAGAAGGAGGGCATTCCGCCCGTGCAGCAGCGTCTCATCCATGGCGGCAAGCAAATGTACGATCACCATACTGCATCGTTTTCCCCTCACCCAAGGCCACAGAACGCCGGGAGAGTCAGGAATGACACCACAGCTTACTAATGCGGACGTCGCTTCTCTACAGGACCGATGACAAGACTGCGGCCGAATACAACCTTGTCGCTGGCGACACTCTGCATCTCGTCCTTGCCCTTAGGGGGGGACGGCACTTTGAATAATGCTAAACGACGGAAGCGAAGCGATATGTCGACATGTCTTAGGAAGCCGAGGGGAGAGTGGTAGATAGGGGAAGCAATAAGCAAGGGGGAGGAGCAGTATATTTGAGAGCAAGATATACGGGCCCTTTCTTCTGCCGATCACATTCGTACATTTGGTCATTTGATAGATTGAGCTATACAAAACATATGAGCTCTTTATGCCGAAAATCTGCATCCATATGAGCCTTGTTTGAGAGATATTATTGACCTCTTTTGGGAAAGTTGAGCTCAGTGATGGAATTCATTCAAGCAAACTGACAAACAACTAACCAGCAATCAAGCATAGACTGCATGCACTAGTTATACATCACGAACAAGGCACTCATATGAAGGGCAGTTTGGTAAGTTTTTGAAACACATTTATCAATTCTGCTTGAAGCCGTTTCCATCTGCGTCTACTAATATACAAGCAGCTGCATCATATCCAGCAGCAGCCATCCATGAACATGTGACAAAATTCATACTGGAAAGAAAAGAAACATTTGAAAAAGTAAAGTCCAATATCGCCTTGCTTGAATCTGGGCTTGAAGCTTGCCGATACCAAGCTTGTACCAAAACTCCATTCCTTGTATAATCGTGTGGGGCATATCTCGCCCGTGGTATCAAATGAGAGGAAATAAGCGGTGCCGAAGACAAAGAAAACTGGTGCCTGCTTAGCAGGTATTCCGTTGCCTCCATTTCAGGCCCTACGCTTGGGTCGCATGAAAACGTCCACAGCCTTCCTCTTGCGTGGCGGAGCTGAGCCTGCCGGGGCTTGCTGCTGAGGTTCGGCAGCAGTCAAAAGTTCCTCGACTGACTGGGGTGAATGCCTCTCGTCTAGAGGCGGAGAGTTCCGCGCCTTGGGTAGGACGGGCTGATGGCGCTTCTGAGGGCTCTCTGCTTGCTTTGCTGCCGGTGCCTTCTTGGTGACGACTACAGCTGGATGGGCGGAAGGCTTAAATCCTCCGAACTTTCGCTGAAGTATGCTGACGGGAGCCTTTGATGCGGCCTTGACAGCTAGCTTGGGCGCGGCATTGGCGGGTTGTTTCGGCTTGGCGGCTGCCCTTTGGTCCAGGACATTGTCGTGACCATCCTCATCACCGTCGTCATCTTCATCAGAGTCAGAGACGTAGGTGGCGCGTCGTTCAAATTCCTCCAGTGCAGCTTCCAAGGGCGAGGGATTCGCGGGTTCCTTTGGGGTTGGTCGGAAAGCTGGTTGTGCGGCTCTCTTGCGGTCATTGATCATGGCTTCAGGGGCTCTTGTGACGCCATGGCCTGCGGATGGCGCTCTGATGCTTCGAGAAAGGGAGCCGTGGATGTTGGCAATCTCTTTTACTTCGCGGCGGACTTTGCGCATGACACTTGCCCCATTGACTGTTTTGGTGCGGCTGCCACCACCAAAGGTTAAGGCATTGGAAGAGCCTTCACGAGGACCGGTGTATCGTCTGATTGCCATCTTTGCAGATCTGGGAAGGGCCTTGTTGCTGACGATCTTGCTCGTGTTCTTCTCCTTGTCTTGACGAAGGCCGGCCAGGGCAAATTTGAGCTTGTCCTCGCTCTCTTGGAGGGCTCTGTCGTGCTCAATCTTGTACTTCTCCCAGATTTTGTACCATTTCTTGGGGTCTCTGGGTTGATACGCCTTGGCTTTGGATTCCAGGGGAAAGTCACGCTCGATAAACTTGAGCCATATCTCAGCTGTTTGGCCTTCAATGTGAGGTGAGTTGAGTTCAATCTGTCGAAGCTGAGCAGGATTGTCGATCTTGATTAAGAGCTCACGGGCAACCTCATAGCTGAGGAAGCCAATGTTGTCGATATCGCGGATGTTCTTGACGCAAGCCATCATAGCGAGCTCTTTGAGTGATTTGAGAGACATGGTGAGAGAAATGGGGGGTCCTGGACGGGACCGACAATATGTAGATAAATGAACGGGTGGCTTCGGCAGCAAAAGTGAGTTTAAACTGAACAAACTCTATACCATGGATGTAAACAAAAAATTGAGTATATTGTTTATGCGTCAGTAACGGCTTGAGTGGCGATGAACGAGACTATAATTGAGTGTAAAGTGAGGCGTCGATGACGATACGTCCCCCGTATGAGAAACGGCGCCAGCGTGTACCCTTTACGATTCGGAGCCTTGATTCCCGCTGCACTCAAGCCTAGAAAAGGTACCCGTTACAAGCCATATGGAGAGTTTCGATGCTATATGGGGACAGTCAAGCTTATATCCGAACTGAAGGGTCTTTTGGACCTTGATGGCGATGGCGTATAAGTGCGGCAGCGAGCCTAAGTTGTAGTTGCTATGGGTACGAGGCCTCATTTGATGTCGAAAGGGTGAGCAGCCAGCCTTGTGCACGGCCCCGTTCCGCTAAATTAAATGCTACTAGGACTAAAGCAGAGCTGCTGCAAGCTTTAAAAGATAGCAGGCTACAAAGAACCTGGCACAGTATGAATTATGACCAGCGTACTCAAAGCTTTCAGAAAGCGGGCTTTGAGACTTTGCTTTGGGGACGGGCTGCACAGTGCAGCGCTGCCTTTTTAGGCACTCCACTGTGACATTAGTGCACAAGGGCCCCCAAGCAGCACTGACTTCATGCCCCAAGTTGGAACCTCAGGTTAGCCGCAGGCGCATGTACCCTCATCACGTACCTACCTATAGCTCGGCCATCTACAGTGACGCCTTGTGCTTTTTTGCACACTTTCACATCATTACAACGAACTGCTAGATTGCTAGCAGCCTCCTGTTTCACCGCAGCCCGGATCCCGATCTTGCCATCACCTGAATTGATCTAGCACCACACGCAATTTTGCCTTCTTGAACAAAAGAATCGACATGGCGGACTCGGGGCTCGTCAAGTCGGAGTTCGTCAAGGATGAGCCGGCGGCCTCGCCAATGGCGCTTGACGAGGACGACCTCTTCGAAGATGCCGGCGATCTCGACTTTTATGACAAGTCCGCTCCCGGAAATACTTTTGAGACGCTGTACCTTGCGCGCATCCCAAAGTACATGTGGGATGCGTGGATCAAGCTGACGGAGAAGATGGGCGACGACGAGGAGATCCAGATTGGCACGCTGCGGACGTGGAACGAGCCTCAGATGGACACGTTGGCGGATGGAACCCCTCGCGAGCTTACGAAGCTGCGCATGCTGCTCACTGCGAACACCCCGGAGCACCAACTTCTCCCTCGAGAGTACGATCTGGAGATTCTCGACCAGGACGTGAACAATTCTTTCATTTTCAGCGAAGAGGATCTGCCGGGCTACAAGAACAAGACGCGCTCAGATGCGGCTAGTGCTGGAATTCCGCTCGCTTTGCTGCGATCTAGAGGAAATGGCAATGGCGGATCCGAGAGGCCAACTTATGACCGAAGGAGTCGGTTCCAGCCGTACTACCGCAAGGCTATCCCGAGTATGTGAACGCTACAGAGTGTTTGAATCTTCTAAGCTAATCTGTTACCACAGAGAAAACCAAAATCTTTGGAAAGATTCGATATGATCTGCGTGTTGAGCCACGAAACTTACGAGAAGAAGAAGAGCTCTTGGCGAAACGTATCTTTGATGCTGAAAACTCCAAGACGAAGCTTCAGATAATCAGCAGGAATAAGGCTTCTTCTATTATCAATCCCGGAGCTACGGGCTCCGTCAGTTGGGGAGGAAACTTCATCGTGCGTTTATACCCGTCCGCCCAATTATATGGTTTCTCTTGACATCGCCGCTAACTTTCTCCACCACAGAAAAATGCTGCCCCTACTACCAAGCCCAAGAAGGGCGAAATCCTCAAGGCTACTCGTATCCCCAAGAATCAGCTTCTCGATCTTATTTTCGATTGTTTCCGTCAGTATCAGTACTGGTCGATGAAGGCGCTGCGGCAGAGAACTCAGCAGCCGGATTCTTATCTGCGTCAGGTCTTGGAGGAAGTTGCAGTTCTCAATAAGAGCGGCCCGTTTGCCAACCACTACTGCTTAAGTGAAGCTTACCGAGATAAGGGTGGCAATGATGCTAAAGAGGCTGCCGCGGAGGCTATGGATGACGATGGTGATGATGACGAGGGCGAAGAAATGGAAGATGTGCTGGTGATGCAGTAGTGAGCAGGCAGCTCGTTAAACATCATTCTTCACAGCCGTGTCTGCTATGCAAGGACCGCACTGCACAGAGAGCTTGAGAGATTTCCTTTTCTTCATTTTTTCCACTAATCTTTCTTCCATCTCGAAGGAGGAATACCAACCGCTTTAAATATGAAAACAAGAATGGACGGTTGTCAACTGGCGTTGGGGCGTTGGGTTCATGCCGCCTAGGGCATTTGATACCCTTTTTATAACGGACAATCCGAGTTAAGAGTATAGAGTAAACCCAATTGATCGTATAGTGTAGACTTTTTTTCTATCTTGGGAACGTGCAATAAGAATCTAGCCTTGTATCCTTTTCCCTGCCTCTCTGGCAATACTGGTCTAATAACATGTCGCAACTGTCTGATTGGCTTCGGAAGTAGCGGGTTATTTCACTAACACGACTAGCGCCATCTTCTCATCGAGCTGACCTACGTCATGTTCAGATGAAGCAGGTTCATATTGTCAACGATAGCTGTCAATTGCTTAATCGCAGAAAAATTCAACGAACGAATCTTTGTTCTTTTTCAAGTTCCCTTCTGATAGGCTACGCTAGACATTAATTAGATACTGCTGGATAAGGTGAATCTGCCTATTCTTACCTTATTCACTCGGCTTGTAAACTAGTACTGGCTTCTATAGAGTCTATACGTCACCGCCTGTGAGCATCAGTCGAGTTTGCCAGCAATGGCAAGCCACTCGCAGCTCCTTCCTTTCTCTTTAGCTGCCGCCCCAAAGCTGCCCTTCCGAGGTAGTCGCAAGCCATGATTACTGACCTGCTGACCCCTCAATACACATTGGCGGCGTACTCGATACATTGGGGCACGTAGGTTGATTGTTAGCGCAGTCAACGGTGATCTCATACAATCCGTTAACGCGGTCAGGGTTCATCCGACATTGGTAGACGCCCTCTTCGTGTAGCTTATAGTAGCTTGGCACTCGGATATCGTAGAAGGTACTAGGAAGCTCTGCTAGAGCACATGGAGCACTAAGTAAATTCTGTGATATAAAGAAACCGCCGTTTCCGCACAACAACCCTCCCACTTGAAAAGCTTCCTTCTACAGGATTGGGGCTCTAATCAACATAGAACAGGCCCGATACAGATCGTACCCTGGGCATACAACCGTCTACCTCATTCTAGATACTGCTATTTTGTCTTACGCAATGGCTACGCACTCGGGGAGCAATCGCCGCGCCCAGTCGGGCGGCTATCTTCCCATTGAAGACTATGGCATTGTGGGCAACATGCATACATGCGCTCTTGCTGGGCTAGATGGAAGCATAGACTTCATGTGCTGGTAAGCTATAAAACATCAATTGCTCAGCTGCCATTTATCCGAACATGAAGCTGACCCGCGCAGGCCTGACTTTGACTCGCCATCCGTCTTCTGTCGTCTCCTTGATAAGAACAAGGGGGGCTATTTCAGCATCTCTCCGCCCGATGAGTTCGCCTGCACTACGAAACAGCAATATCTCCCTTCTTCGTGCATTCTGCAAACCAGGTACATTCACGAAGATGGTGTCGTTGACGTGGTGGACTTCTTTCCCCGGCCCAAGAGTGCAAAGGTCATGACCAAAGGGTACAAGCAAAACGCCTATCGCGAGGCCATCAATGTCCAAGAAGAGTTGAAGAAATGGGTTGTACGACGTGTAGAGTGTATTCGTGGATCATTACCTATAAGTACGTTATACTGTCAAAGTTTCATATGCGACTTTTACCCTTAGAGACTTGGAATGGAGCTGATAGAACAACCATCGCAGATGTTGAAATCTTTCCTGCATTCAACTATGGGCGAGATTCTCACGAGACTACACTTCTACAGAAGACTCATACACCGGAGCATCAAAAAAGCAAGATAGGAACCTTTCACAGCAAGGATGTTAAGCTTCAGCTGGACGTTGCCGTCGATAAGGGAGATGGACACGACTGCGGCCAGATAACTTTCGAAAAAGTTAAAAAGGATGGGATGCTTGGCGAAGGCATCGTATCTCACTTTACTTTACGCGCCGGCCAATCAGTGTCATTTGTCCTGAGGAATGACATTCCCAATCACATTACGGAAGTCATTACAGACGCAGTTGTGGATAGTCAACAGCACGACACGCAGACATTTTGGTACAACTTCATCTCTCAATCCAAGTACAAGGGGCGCTGGAGAGAGGTCGTATCGCGAAGCTTAATGATTCTGAAATTGCTTACTTACGGTAATGCACAACTCATAAACAAGAAGACCCTTGATCACTCATGACTGCAACTAACACGCAATAGAACCGACCGGCGCCATTATTGCAGCTCCCACCTTCTCTTTACCTGAAGACGTAGGGGGCGTGAGAAACTGGGATTATCGTTATTCTTGGGTCCGAGACTCGAGCTTCACCATATACATTCTTCTCCGGCTTGGCTTCAGAGCTGAGGCAGATGCATATATGGATTTCATCATGGAGCGATTCACTCCAGACCGAGGACCCGATAAGGGCCTTCCTATAATGTTTACTATTCGTGGAGGCACTGACATTCCTGAAGTCACTCTAGATCACTTTGAAGGCTATCGAGGCAGTGCCCCTGTTCGCATCGGTAATGGTGCAGCTTTCCATCTTCAGTTTGATGTGTATGGCGAATTGATGGACTCCATTTATCTGTATAACAAATATGGAAAGCCAGTGTCCTGGGACATCTGGTGTGCCGTACGACGGATGCTAGGTTTGTATAACAATCAGTATCTCATATACAACTGTTTACTAATTTTTCTGATAATAGATTACGTCTTGACCATTATTGGCAGTAAGTGAACTTGCTATCTATTAATCCTCCAAGCCAGAGAAACCAGAGAAACTTACCTGATCCAGAAACCGACATGTCTATTTGGGAAGTGCGCGGAAACAAGCAACGGTTCACCATTTCTCAAATCTTCCTCTGGGTAGCATTTGATCGCGGCCTTCGACTTGCAGAGAAAAGATGCCTTCCATGTCCCAATAGAGCAAAATGGCTCGAGGCTCGTGATAATCTTTACGAGGAAATTATGGAAAAAGGTGTGCATTTCTGGTGATCTTTCATGGCCTCATACTTACCATCGTATACCAGGTTACAACACGGAGCTCAAGTCCTTTGTTCAAAGCTACGAAGCCAATACAGTGTTGGATTCGTCTATCTTGCTGGCTCCTCTGGTATTCTTTATAGCTCCAAGTGATCCTCGTTTTGTGAACACAATCAATCGCATAATGCTGCCTCCAGAACAAGGAGGATTGACGAGCACTGGGTTGGTATATCGCTACGACACAGATGAGTCAGACGATGGTAGGTCATACTTTAATATTGAGAGAGCATATGACAAGATTAGCTACTAACGCATCACTACATAGGCGTTGGAGGAAGAGATGGAGCCTTCTCTATCTGCACGTTTTGGCTCGTCGAGGCTATGACTCGTGCAAGCATTCATGAGCCCCAGTATCTTCCCCGAGCTATGAACCTTTTTCAGAATATGCTGCAATTCTCAAACCACTTGTCCATGTTCTCCGAGGAGATTGCACGAAGTGGCGAGCAGCTAGGCAACACACCGCAGGCTTTTAGTCACCTGTCACTTATCAGTGCGGCCTTCAATCTTGATCGAGTTTTTGAAGGATGGCAAGACTCTCGCACTTGAATATCGTCTATAATTGGCGGCGAATTATGCATTTGATATCTTTACCGTGTAATTCTTGGCAGGTCTAGTCGATGCTTCTAATGTTTGACTCGATGTATCTATAAGTGTGTAATTACAGCTACGCTTTAGCAGTGGCACTGTCAAACAATAGTGAAATCTGCCTCTATCAACTATCACCTGAAATGTCGCTTGTTCAATTAGACTTGTCCCCAACGCTCCTCTAATGATAACGAATCAGCAAAAGGGAGCACCGCCCATATTTAAAAATGATATAGCTGCTATCAAGCATCTCAAAGCAGTGTTCGTTTAGTCTCTTGTTGCATATCTTGCAGGTGATTCTAAGCGAATTTACGGTTGAGTAAAACAAGCAGTTAGGATTTGCGGGAAAAAACATTTGAGTTGAAATTCGCAATAGGAGGCCGTCCTCTTGGTATAACTGCGAGATTAAGAGTTGATGGCTCCGAGGTTTGCTCTGACATTGAGACGGCTTGAAAGTGTAGACATACTAGTACATGATGTTGCAGATTGTCGCATAGAATCAGTGAGATTGGAGGTCAAAACTTAAGCTCATTGGCCCGTTGAAATACGCTCTAGCGTCTGGTTTTGCAGAATTTCCCGAAAATCCCGTGCCCAGGCGATGTTCGCTCCATCCTGACTGCTGTCTACATGTGGAACAGGGACACCGACACGATCAAGCGTTTGCATGAGCGATGACTTTGCATCTGCGGATATGACGATGCCGTAGTGGGCAAGGAGGCACTCCATGTCTGTGGTTGAATCGCCAAAGTAGACGGTTGGGCGTGACGAGTGCCCTGCCTTGGAAATGAGCTGCTCTAGAGAATTGGCCTTGCAGCGGGACGTGGTCAGCCTGACGCCGTCGTTGAAGCCATCGGGGCCTTGGATCGTGCCGTCTGTGGAGATCTGGTTGGTGATGATGGGGACATCAATCGGATAAAGAACCCCTTGAATGAAGGCCTCGGACCAGTTCACTGAAAGCACGCCGACGTGCCAGCCCTTCTGCCGTGCCAGCTCAACCATCTCGACGAAGCCTTCTCTGATGGCGACGGCCCCGCTGGAAACTTGACTTTTACCCATCTGGAAGAGGTCCTGCGACGTTAATCCGGAGAACAAGCCCGACTGGTCGACCCTGTTCAGCGATGCATTCTCCGTGTCTTTGAGGCTGGATAGATACGCGAGCTCTTGCTCCGGCGAGAGGCGCTCGCTTTCGGGAGGATTGTAGTCTTTTGCAAAGGCCTTGTGCTCGTCGCCGTAGGCTTTGACGATGGCGTCCCAGGCGGGCTGCAGGTCTTGTTGCTGCTGCTTGAAGGAGATTGCGCTTTGGGCGAGTTGGAAGATTGTATCTTTGACGGTGATGGTGCCGTCGAAATCAAAGATGAGATTCATTCTGCCCTTTTGTCTGTAGAAGCACCTTATGCTGTGCCTTTTCCTGAATTGTATGAGATTTGATCTTGTTTGTAGATATGTCGTCAGAAATCTGCCATTATTCATCAACATTGATTTGTTGTAAGAGGAGAGACCAAACCGGATTAATGGATCGGTGGGTAGATCTGTAAGTGTCTGCTACGCTATAGAGGGGTACCTCAGTTGCGTATGCCGTAATCGTATGGGCTCCATTCAGGTCTTCACTATGGCGAACTGAGAGGCGCTGTATTAGCATGTAATCACTGCGACTATTACATCTCTTTTCAATCTATGAGATGCCGCTGGAACATTACGCAACATAGAAAAGAGCAATATTTGAATGGTAGGTGTGATAAAGCTGTCTAGTTATAGATGCACATATATCATCACTTATAGGAGCGTTATCTTGTATCTACAAGCCATTCAAATTATGCTTTCGCCTATCAGCGAGTTGCCAGCAGCGTCCCATTCCAATAATTTTAGTATTCGGTAAAGGATTTTGGTTTTTCTCAGGCAGAGAACTAGATTTGAAAATCCTAGATTGCGAAAAAGAAGTTCGTTATAGTGCAGCGATGGCGATTAGCAGTTCGATTCGCAGTGGCCCGAGCTTCTACCACGTTGGCCATCCTAGACTTCAATCACTTGCAGAGCAGCTCTACGCCACCAATTTCCTGCAGAGTACGTGCCTAAAGATTGATACAGAGAAAGACTTTGATCCATATACTTGCCTCCATTTCAATTTCGTTTCTTTTTTGTATCAACTGCTCAATTGCCGGCGAGAAGAGCAAAAGCCCCTCCACAGCACGCCCCGGCCTGCTGCTGCCTTCACTTTTACTACTAGCAGCTTACTAACTTGCCTAAAGATCTGCCCCTAGCCCTCAACCTCGACCTACTTCACGACTGCCTGCGTATAACAATTCTCTGGGCTTTCACGCACGAATACTCTCTTCTCTCTATCAACGCCCAGGCTTCGGCATTTATTCCAACGATAAAGACTTAATAAGTCTATCTCCCTGTCAGGGGCTTCGAAAAGGGACTCGAGCTTTGATATCTCCCATTCGCAGATTTTCTTTGTTCCGCTCAACCTCCCTTCCTCCACTCACTCTCATAAGCCAACCGCGACAGCACGCGTCAAACACCTCAACCACGACGCTCCTCAAGCTCAGTCAGGGGATTCTCACTTGTCACTCTCACCTCCTCTCGTTTCCAATCTCATCTCCCACAATGCCCTATAACACAAACGCCATCCCTCCTCGAAAGGAGCCTACGGGACAGACTCAATTGCCATGTAAGCTCACGGATTCACTCTGCCCCATTTTCTCAATAAAGGTTAACCCCCATTGCTCAGTGTCAAGAGTCAAAAAGATCATCAGCCAAGATCCAGACGTCCAGATGTGCTCCAACAACGCCGCCTTTGTCATCACCTTGGCCACTGTACGTCGTTGTCTGTCATTCCATGATTTCCAATCTCTCCCAGCTAACACAGTATCTCATCTTCACGCAGGAAATGTTCATCCAGCATCTCACTGAGGAAGCTCATGCCCAAGCAAAACTTGAACGCAAGCCCAGACGCAACATTCAGTACAAGGACGTCGGTACGTTGGCTAGACTTTCTCAGTTACTATCTTCTTCTTCTTTTTCCTCCCCACCAGAGCAGTGCTATATTATGGGTTCTAACAAACACTTGCAGCCAATGCCATATCACGCCGAGACAACCTCGAGTTCCTAGAGGACGTCGCCCCCAAAACCACCACCTTCAAAAAGGCCAAGGCCGCCGCCCAGGCCCAGTCTCGCGGTGAGGCCATTGCCGATGCTGACTCTGCTGCTGCTCCCCGCGCCACAGCAAATGGTGGCAAGAGCAAATCCAACGGAGCCAAAGCAGCGGTCAACGGCCAAGGCAAAGCCGGCACCAACCCCTTCACACTGTCCCTCCGTGGCGAGGAGAGCAGCAGGAAAGAAACCATCGCCACCGCGCCGGCGGTGTCCGACGACGCCAATGATCAGCTCGAGTTGGAGATGAGGCAGGCCACGCGCCCTCAGGACGACGCCGATGTAGACATGACTGGTTAGGAGCAAAGTGTCGTGTTATTCGAGCCGTCGCCGCGTGAAGTGGTCGTCTCTCGGCCTGCGATGCGGTCAAACCGTGGGAAGCGAAGCCGTTTTAAGAGCATGTAAGGTTAATAAGAGTTCATCATTATTGTTGTTGCATTTTCACGGGGCTGGTTTTTGGAGTTTATATATCGAATGGCAAATGTTGTCTATTCTCTGTCAACATCGTGTACCAATCAATGCTGGATTCTCAGCCTTCTTGTAGGTCAAGAGAAGCTGTTCTTTAGTGTAAGAAAAAAGAAAAGTATAAGTGAAAAAATAACCCCCAAAAATAAACATCCATGGAGACAAACATTTCCTTGTGTCAAAATCATTTTACAGTAGCTTCCTCACTCCTCCATAGCATCGCCGTAAATGCCAGACGGTAATCGCCCTTCGTTCAACTCCTTCTCCAGAGCAATAATTTCCTGCAGGCTCGTCGCCTTCTTGATCTTCTCTTGCAGCCTCTGCTTCTCCTCGTCCGTCAACTTTATTCGCGAGAGCTTCGACGGCGCGGCTGACGAGCCGTTGGATGTGACTTCGAACGTCTTTGACTTTTTGCCCATGATCTGAAAAAAGATGCACACATTAGAATATCATCCGGTAGCATAAGTTGTGTCTTGGAAAGGGATGGGGGGTATAGCGTACCGATGTTGCCAAAGCTGTAGGCTCTTCCGCTGTACCGAACAGCTCTTGACTCTTATCTCGTTCCGCCTGCTTGACCTTTTCGTAGTCCAGGAATCGAACAGAGGGACACCTCCAAATGACCCAGTAACGATAATGCTGTAGCCGCTCTAGAATCAGTAACTCTTCTCACGGCACACAGAGACATAGAAACGCACCTCCTTCTTCGTAACAGGGTTATCCGCCAACACCAAGTGCGTCAGCCGCGTAAACGTCCCCAGCGTATCCACGTCCGCCAGCTCAGCCAGGCTGTTGGACGCCAGCACCAGGTTCCTCAGATTCGGCACCGCCGCCGCCGCCGTGGTCTGGATGTTTGCGACGCGGTTACGAGCCAGCAGCAGTGTCGTTATGCGCGGCGAGAGGGGGAAGTTGCCCAGCACTTGGATGTCGTTGTCGGTGAAATCGATGGCATCGTGGGGCTGTACGATAGATAGCAAAGAACGGGTTAGCAGTGGTTTCTTCTTTTCTGCGATTTGCTCGTGTAGAGCTTCCCATCTACAGGGAGAATAAACAAGAGCAGATGCCATAAACAGCAGGAGGAGGGAAAGACTCACGCCCGCAACACCCAAGTTTTCAATGGCAGGAATTCTGTGTCCTATTTACGCCGCGGCGACAGGAAAAGGCCTTTCAATGTATCAAACAATTTCTCTCATCAAACCAAAAGAAGGTGAAAAAGAGAAAAGATTGAAAGAAAAATGAGAGATGAAGAAGTGTGTAGTATCTGCTCCTTTCATATCTTGTTTTTTTCTTACTACCCTTTCTCTCTTTCAGGTAGCAAACGCACCTCGGAGATCAAGCTCTCTTTCCTTTAGGGGATTCAGATAGGACAGCGAGTCCCGAATCAATTCGGCCGTGAGCCTCATAGTGAATAATCTTGGATCGGGTCGTAGTCGAAACAGGAATGGGAAGCCTCTGGGGAGGCGTTGCGAGAAACGATCGAACGGCCGGCGTTTGCGCTTCTCGATTCGCGCCTCAAAAACAGGCAATTGCTCCGGCAATCGTCGTCGTTACGGTATCAGATGATTCGAGACAATTCTTCTCGGTATATATATCGCCGCTGAAAAGTTGCAAGTAAGGAGACAAAAACAGTGCAATGTTGTAAGAAAATGGAGAGACTATCACGGTAGGGCGGTGGTGTCGCATGCCGCATTCTAAGCTAGCTGGGCAAGGCTGAAATGTTTGGCAAGGCGTCGGGAAATTTGAGTGACACTAGGGAAAAACGCCACACTTTGCGCAGCGCCACAAGTAGCTGGTGCCACGCTTCATTTTCACCGTGTCTCAAGACTCTCAACTACTCTTCTTTTCGTGCACTCTTATACGATTCGTTTTCGTTATGAATAAAATCCAATCAACAAACAGGAGCTGATACGAGTTCTATTCATCTTCAAGTTTCCCTGCTTGCAGTGTCTGTAGCCAAAATTCCCCTACTTTCATCAGGACGTTACCTCTACCGATCACTTCTTCACCACGCGACATTGATTACAAAGGGCTAGCTATAAAGAATAAGAAAAAGAAAAAGAAAAGCAAAAACACCAAAAAGAAAACATACAACAGCCGGTGTTCGCTGATGGTCACCCACTCAACTACTAATCTGCCGGTTAATGGCTTGTCTATGGGGGAGCAGACGGGACCCCGAATTTTCCATTACCTATGGTCGTATGTGTTTGTTTTAGTATCAAGTCTCTTTATATAGATTACCTCTAAGAAACCATGCAAAATAGAAAAAAGAAAAAAACATACAACAGCCGGTGTTCGCTGATGGTCACCCACTCAACTACTAATCTGCCTCTCATTGGCTTGACTCTGGGAGAGCAGACGGGATCCCGTATATTCCAATGGATATGGTCGTATGTGGCAGAAACATGCGCTAGAATCCATGATGGAACAACCGCGTTTACATCACGACAAAACAAGAAAAAGAGACAACAAATGAATATATCTAGGCCCTAGGCAAGCTGTTTAGAGTCTTGTACTTTAAATAAATAATTAATAACAATACAATAGTTAATACGCTGTAAAATACTGCTGGCTGGAATACTCTTTGCTGTTTATTAGACAGCCCCTTTTGTAAGGCCATATGGATTCAGATGTTATTTGCTTGTAAAAGCAGTGCTGTTGTTGCTTTTTTTTTTTCTCTCTAGGTTCATGTCGTTAATCATCTCAATTGAACTGGCGTACAGAGCGTTGCGCTGTGGTGTTACGCTGTAGTGAATGGATGGACCATTTGGTCTTGACAAAAATTTAACTAATCCGCTTCCACAACATACAGTTTTCCAGCACTTAAAATTCAACAAGTGACTGAACAAGGAGAACTGCATGTCCACTGCTGAGAGAAGTTCTCGCGATAAAAAGGTAACGTATCATCCCTATTAGCTTTTCAAGAATAATAAACGAACGCAGGACGCCATTAGTCAATGAGAACCGAGGATAAGGAGCTTTCGCCGCCTCCTCTCTGTCACATGTACGGAGTACTGCTCCAAGCACTAGCGTCTTTAAAATGCCAAAGATTAGGCGAGGAGTAATCCTTTTAGGAATATGAAGTGTAATACTGGTACATGGTTGCTTTTTAGTGGGATGCACTGTTTCTTAAGATACTATAGCTTTTTTTTTCCTATCATTGTTAGCATATAAAACAGTTATCTTTTAACTCCATATTGATTGTAGAGTATTCAATACATGTGATTACGATTTAAAAAAAAAAAAAAAAATACCTTGGGGTTACATACAACTGAATAATGTTTTGGGCTAATTTTAGTTCTCCTCTACTTGAATAATCCCTGCGATCTTCATGGTTATCTTGTGTTGGTTGGAAAGACTTCGATTTTAGTCTGGTGGATTCGCATCATACCGTGCCACACAATACGACTCACAAAGCGGCTTTTCTTCCTTTTAGAGGCCTAGGCAACATGAACTTTTGCGACATTAAGCTCTGAATTTAGTTCAGCTTGCCCGGGCTCCCGTCTCGAGTTCTCCAGCCTCGGTTTACTGGCGTTAGCATTCGATCTTTGATTCGACTGACCCTTCGTGACAATGGCAGACCTCCTGGATTGCCCGACAGAAATTCTGCGTTCTATCCTTGAGTGTCTATCTGCGGCTCATCTCCGCGTTCTTTGCCTTGTCAACCAAGGTTTACGCGAAGTCGCCGAGCCTTTACTGTACGTTAGGATTGAGTTGGTATGGAAGAGAGCTCGACCTCCTCCAATCATCCCGTTGATACAAAGCCTTCAGCGACGGCCTTCGTTGGCTAATTATGTCCAAAATCTTACTCTCAATGCGCCCTTCGAAGCATCTCTCTCTGGGAGAGTTGTCATCAAAGACCCGGATGGTTTCCATAGCAGCAAACTCCCTCACAGCATTTCTGTGGATAGCTCTGAGTTTGCCACCCTTGCTACGACGATTCAAGACATCGACCCGCCATTTCGTGACTTATGGATACAAGAGCTCGGAAATGGCGTAATGGATGCCTTCGTTATACTGCTGCCATCATTAGTCCCGAATTTAACGCATCTACGTCTGACTGGCATTTTCGCTAGAGAGAATCGCTTGCTTGGTATGCTGCTGAGAGCTTCCCTCTGTCAGACTTCGCATTGCGAGCTTCCACGATTCCAGTATCTGCAGGAAGTTGAGTTTGATCCCAAGCTGGACCCTTTTCGAGATTGGAAGACTAAGAATACAGCGGACGTTCTTCCACTGTTTTACCTTCCCTCTGTCCAGTCGATATCAGTTGAGGTTGACAACCCTGTCACATTTTCGTGGCCAACACATAGACCTAGCCCATCCAATATCACGGCGTTAGATTTACAGATCTTACGGGAAGGTCTCCTAGGTTGCATTCTTGCTGTAACAGAAAATCTGAAAACGCTCAGGTGGGAATGGGGATATGAGCCAAATTTGATGAACGAGTTTAACAACCATGTCATTGATCTTGATCAGATTGTCATGGATTTATCCCTTGTTCAAGATACATTGATAAATCTGCATCTACTGGCCACAGTCCAACCTGAGCATCATGATTACCCTGTTCTGGAAATTAAAGGCTCTTTAAGAGGCCTGAAGAACTTCAAAAAAATACAAAAATTGGAAGCTCCGCAGTTGTTCTTAATCGGATTTTCTTCAGACGACAATTTGGGTGGTCTCGAAGATTTACTGCCGAAGAACATCTACCACCTGACCATCAATGATGATATCGTATTCCTGGAAGAAAATGTCTGGCAAGACCGCGATCTTTTCGCCATGCTTCAGCACTGGTGGGATAATCTTACGCCTTGCACTCCTCATTTTCATAGTTTCGAACTGTCACTTCTATGCACAGATGACGAATGGTGCGCCGGTATCAGAAATGAGCTCTCAGAACTATGTGCTCGACATGAAATCCGACTTGATATTTTCAAGAGATATAAAGATTTGGATTAAAGACACAATGCTATTAGCAAGTAAAGACCTCCGAATTCGCACTTTGCTCATATAGTCCCACTGAGAGCCTCTACACAAGACTAACACATCCGAATTTGGTCTATCTTGTTGATGCCACCTGCCAAAGTGTTGAGATCATAGGCCTCTCCTTGGGTTCCGAGATCGAGATAATCAATATTATTCAGAGAGACAAATAAGTTGCAGCCCCAATCAGCCTTTTATGTTAGTCAAACTAGCAACTTAGTATACTAAGTTCTCTTACCTTTTCGTTTGTTCCACATTCTGCGATGAATTGGAGGTTATCATCTTTTTTTTGGTAGAACCCCGTGAGCGCACGAACATTTGCGTCCTTTAGAGGAGTTGTGTGCACTTGATAATATTGATGAAATCTCTCCACAAGAGGCACCTCGAACATGGGTTTTTTCCTCTCCTGTCTGGTCTTTCCAGACTGCCATGCAAATAGCGAGACTTTGCTTCACAGGGCTGGCGGCATACTCATAAGCGAAAGAAGGTCCCCGTTGCGAGGATGACAAGATAACCTCGTTGCCAAATGCGAAGAACGTTACAACACCGGGCCAACGCTTCATGCTATAGCCATATTGCTCTCCATCTATCGACATTTCTTTCCATGCATCCTTAAGCATTTGCACTAGCTGGCCATTGGTAATAGAACTGACAGGTTCATTGAAAGTGAGATGGGTAGAGAACACCAAATTCTTCGAGCCGACGACAAAGTTGGGAGGTCCATCTCCTGTCCCGAGCGTAGCCAGCTCATAGTCGAGACGAACTCCGAGCGATCCTTGGGGGGGGGGGATTTTTGGCCAAGATTAGCGGCATTCAGCAAGGAACTGAAGAGACAAATGATGAGAAGAAACAGATAGCCATAGCGGCTGGGTGATGGAATTCGCATTGCGATTCAAGGATTACTTGTCGCTGCTTATCACAATACTGGTAAACAAAAAAAAGAGTCAAATGTTGAGCAAATTCATACCCTCAGAAGATTCCTTACAGATGAATAAGAGTCACTGAAAGGGAGAAAAAGAAATCAGATGCTTCAAGACTAGATGATGTAAAGAAAAATTTGCATACTGGCTGACCCCAGTCCTCTTCGTGTCTCGTATTTTAATAGAAAGCGGCCTTTCTCGGAGGAAAAAGAAAAATCTAGGCTTTCTCAAAATTTGTCTGCTATCTGAACAGGCGTTACTCGAATGAGAAGGACATTTGCATTTACATGGGCTCGACCAACAGCATGTTGCATGTGGCAACAACACAGAAGGTCAGAGCCAATAAAAAGATAAGAGCCAATAAAAAGATAAAAGCCTCATGAATCCTCTAATTTAGCTTGTATGAGGCTTGTAGAATACAACAATGGAACGTAGGATTCAAAGGATTTGATGTGTGTCAAATACATGTACTATCAGGATTTTCGAGGCTATCTCCACCACTTCCTCGGGCAGCCAACCTGGGTTTGGGGGCCATGCCCCTGGAGCGTACGGCGGTATAAATAAATAAATATATAAGCACTTCCTTTATGAATTTTATTGGTAGCATCATCTGATGAATGACTTGATTTTCGGAGCTTGATTATTAGTGACCGGTCACAATGAGACCGTCATTATGGTGCTATTTCGCTACGTTACGATATGTTGGCTTAGGCATTGCTATACCTACCTATAGGGCCCCGATAAGAAATGCATCGATACCCTCGAATCCGATGTGGACGCGAGATGATGACTTTGATGAATCTGATCTTTCTTTCATTACAAAACTTGCCGCAGTTGGAGATTCCTACTCGGCTGGCATTGGTGCTGGTGACCGACTTGGAACCATTCTTAACGCTCTAGATCCCCACAGTGGTGTGTTTTTTTTTCTTCTTCTCAAGAATAGCTATTTTATTGCTAATACTCTAATAGATTGGGCTTGCAGTCGCTACGACAACTCGTATCCCTATCTCATCAATACTGACAGCAGGCTGGGAGACCCTTCCACAAGAACTTTCCAGTTTCAGTCTTACTCTGGAGCGGTCACTTCTGATGTAATAGAAAACCAATTCCCTCGCATTGATTCAAATCAACAAGTCATTTTGCTCTCAGCTGGTAAGTTATGCAATGTTTTCCAATCCATAGGAAATTATTCGTACTTATCTAGCTACAAGGTGGAAATGACGCCGAACTCGTGACGATTTTGAACCAGTGCATCTTTCAGTGGGCTGTTCTGAGCGAGAGCCAAGTCACAGTAGCTAAATTGGCAGCTTTGAGCAAGAACCTTGACTGGGCTAGCGACTATGACTGGGATGCCTTGGGTCGCGGTTGTGATGCACAGTTGGATCGCTCACAGGCGATTATTGACAGCCCTCAGTTTAGTTCCAGTCTTGATTCTGTTGTGAGTGCAGCAAAGGGGAAACTAGCCCCAGAGTGAGTACTGAACTCATGGCTGGTTAATATTCGCATATGTTAATAGATTGTTCTGGAAGTGGAATGATATATTACACAGGGCAAGTTCTTTTTTTTTTTTTTTTTTTTTTTCCAAAACTAATTAGAAGTGTGGGATTGTATTATTGACGACAGGCTCAGGTATGCCAAGTTCTTTGCTGAGGATTTGAGTTCAGGCTGCGATAGAGTCAGCTGGTCGACGTGGATATATGTGAGTGAACCGACTGAATTATTTTTGTTAATGCCTAGGACGAGATCTGAACCGAGATTAAATTTAGAAAGCAGCCAACATATTTCAAGAGGAGCAGTATCTCACTACCGCGCACCGCACAAGGATGAATGCTCTGGTTGATGCCATGAACTCCAAATTGGTGCGTGCCACTGTGTCTATAGTACCAAATATTGGCGTCCTAACGTCTCGATAGGCAGCTGCTGTGCAGAGAACTGGTCCGATGGTGTCATTTGTCAACTATGACCAGTATGTCGGAACATGGGGTGGGCGATTCTGTGAAGACGGCGTCGACGAGTCCACATCTGAGAGCAATACACGGTAAGATTTTGCAAAGACCAATCAAACACACCTGAAGCTGATAATGGGTTAGACCTGGCTTGATGTTTTATGAGCTTAACAGTTGGGATCCTTTCGGATCTACTCCGTGGAAACGTAGCAATGATGATCCTCTGAATGGAACATTCAATGGCGAACAACAAGTCTTTGCACAGATCACGCTTCTTCTTGATCCAAATGCCACATTCTTCCAACAAGAAGCTAATAATGCCGCGCCGAAGCTAGCAATCCAATCAAACAGGACCAGGCCCGTTCAAGATCTGGAAATACCAGCAGTCCAAGTCCCCAGCCTTTTGCCTGATGGGTAAGACTACAGAGCTGTTCAATACATGATGCGATCTGCTAACGTGAATCTGTTTAGTTATGGACGAGTTTTCCACCCCCCAGATCTTGCTTCACCAGATTATTGCCAACCTTGTTATATACCGTATGGTTGAACGGAATGATCTAGCCCATGGAGACCCAGATATTCCAGAACTGAGAACGATAGATGCATGCCCAATTTCCTCACCAGGCGAAGGTGTGGATATTCTGCACTATGGTAATTCTGCGCCTGGTGTTCGCGTTAAACCAGGCACAGAGCTTAGAATCCTCTGTGTTGGTGATTCGATTACTGTTGGATTTCTAAGCGACAAGAATGGAGGAGACGGCAATGGCTATCGGCTTGAGCTGCGCAATGATCTCTCCAGTAAGAGCCCAAGTCTCACATATAGTACGCCATCTGGGATACTGACACTGTTAAAGGCGACAAGGTTGATTTTGCTGGTACCGAGACTTCTGATGGTTCAATGAGTGATGGATATTTTGTAAGCAACTTATATGGCCCTGGATGCATCTATATTGGTACCGTCACCTAACATGGCACTTTTGTAGGCTGCCTGGTCTGGAAAGACCATCAAGTACATCGCGGATCATGTTGGCTCATCCCTGGAGAAGCGGCCAAATATCATTCTTCTCCACGCTGGAACGAACGACATGAACCCAAACAGTGCAATATCGACAGAAGGCAATGATCCACAGGGGGCTGCGAATCGTCTCGGTGATCTGGTTGACCAAATGGCTGCTCATTGCCCTGACGCAATCATTCTTGTTGCTATGATTGTCAACACATGCGACCCTAACCAATCCCAACGCACCAAAGAGTACCAAGCTCTTGTGCCGGGTGTTGTGAGACAGCGTCGCGACCTTGGCCTTCATGTGATTGCTGTCAACTTCACTAGTTTTCCCACCAGTCTTCCCCAAGATTGTATCCATCCCACCAACGACGGGTACAAGAAATTTGGTGACTACTGGTATGACTTCATCACTCAGATACCAAAAGATTGGATCAAAGATCCAGTTGGAAATGATCCGGCTCGAGACGAAGGGGCCAGCGCGAATGGTGGAATTGATACAAATATTCCGCTTCCAAACTGGGGGACCAGTCCGGTTCAGTCAACATCGCCGGCGGATGTTAAGCAGGCATTTGATCTGGCCCCCAAACATAACGACACTCAATGTAATGCTACTCCTATTTTCCATGCAACTGGCCAGATTGCCCTTGGAGTAGGTCACAATGGGGATTGGAAGTTCCACAAGAATTGGACAGCGGCGGGGAAGCTGGCCGATGGACTTGGACTTGATCCCAGATATGTCAGGTAAGTCTATGCATCCTTTCAACAATCGCAAATCGAAGTTATCGTGCCATCAACTAACACGAAGCATAGCCTGCATGATATGAATGGTGATGGGAAAGCAGGTGAGTTTTCCTTGTGACTGTGTCCATTTATATCCTTTAGATGTTGCTAACATTTCCTCGAAGACTACATTTCGCTAAATCCCCAGACCGGTGAGATAAAATGTTGGCTACACAATCTTCCTAACCCTTGGTCGCCAGCTGGAACCAATAATAGCATCATTGGAGCAGGTGCAGGCCCAGCAGATACGGTTTACATTGCGGTAAGCGCCAACTATCATATCTTTTTTTTTTTTTTGTAATATCTTGACACAAACTGACTTGAATGCAGGACATGAATGGAGATGGTGTAAGATTCGCGAGCTAACCATCACATGTACTAGCGCGACGATTACATCTACCTTCATCCTAATGGAGGCACAACAATATATCGTAACATGTACCGTCGCGATAAACCTGGTCCATATTATCTCGCCTTGCCTGAGGCGGACGCTTCCGGTATCCACCAACGACCCGAAGAAATTAGTTTCCATGACATTAATCAGTAAGATATAGTACCACCACTCAATAAGTCCCCTCCCTTCTTGCTAATTGTTTTTTTTTTTTTTTTTCCCCAGCGATGGAAAAGCCGATTACGTGTGGACAAGCGCCATTGACAGCTCAGTCTATGTTTGGTTGAACAACTACCCGAATCTACCAGCATGGCTTCCACAAGGCAAAATAGTTGTCGGTGTAGGCACTTCTGGAGCCAATATCAAATGGGGTGAACTTACAAGCTCGGGATTCCCCGACTATGTGGCCCTTAGCCCGGTTTCGGGGGCGTTTGCGGGATGGCTCAACATCTGTCCGGACGGTCAGAGCTCTCCAGGTCCCGGTCTGCATCTTCCGCCGCCAGGAACAACATGTACCGAGGATAACGACTGTAGTAAGTACAACTGTGAAACAGGATTGCATATTGGATGCTTTGTAAATGGTATTGGTGGTAATAAGGAGGGGACATGCGAGTGTTTACCTGCTGAAGATCAGGCTAGAAAGGCTAAGTTCATGTGAGTAACTTATAGTATTCATCAAATAAGAAGTCATATTTTATCATACTATCTTATACCTAACCTTGTAGTTTTATTATGGTAACATTTCATACAATATGCGCTCACTGCTATCAGGAAACTCTCATGTCGCTGGTTATACTTTGAAAGACAAGGTATGGGACAACCTGGCAGTGGTTGGTGTGGAAGTAAGTGGCAGGTGTGTTTCCTGGTCTGATACTACCCATGGTCGTATGTGCTTGCTTTACTGCTGAGTCTTCCTATATAAACAACAGTAAAGAAATAATATAAATTACCAAAAAAAAAAAAAAGAAAAACATACAACAGCCGGTGTTCGCTGATGGTCACCCACTCAACTACTAATCTGCCTCTCATTGGCTTGACTCTGGGAGAGCAGACGGGATCCCGTATTTTCCAATGGATATGGTCGTATGTACCTGGTCGCGGATGTAATTGCTTTATATTTGCACGTTGCAACAATTTAGCAAAAAAAATAAAGATGTACAACAGCTATTGTTTGCTGATATTCACCACTTGGTTTTTGATATACTAGCCAGGGAACGAAATCAGTATACAATAGCCGCTAGGCTGGTGAAGGGGAAGATGAGGAAGTTTTATTCCCATTTTCACTTTTGTGCAAGTAATGTCTGAGCTATTTGGACAGAAACAGTGACTTACATTAATATCAATTGCCGTAGACGAATACAGAATCACTATTTTCGTACTTTTTGTACTTTTCGTACTGTTGGAAAAAAGGGACAAGAGACAGGAAACAAATCAATAAATGTCCAAATGTATAACCATACTCATTCATTAACCATTTCGCCACAGGTAGAACCTACAGCAGCCATGTTCGGCATCAGGCGCTCCCAGTTAAGCAGACGGAACCCAGAATCCAATACATGAAATATCCACTCATCTAATGCCAATGTCATCAGATAACAAACACTCGCTCCTTCTTTTCCAGTAGCCGAAATATTTTATTCTATTGAAACACATAAACCACGCCAGACCGATCCACAGACACGCTCATCGAATACGGATACTCCAAAATCGCCACGTCCATAATCAGATCCAAATGCGACTTCAACAGCTGCTGCTGTTGCTGCGAAATCACCGTCGACCTCGGTGCCTTCTGCCTGGCCGTTCCCGCATTGGGCGAAGACGCCGCATGCCTCGCGAACCGCTCCGTATTGAGCGTTGTCGACGATGTCGGGTTCATGCTTGTATACGTAGGCGGCTGCTCGTCCGACTGGAGGCCGCTGTAGATACATGAATTCTCGATCCGTGAAATGTCCCAGAACCGGAGCATCTTGTCTGATCCAGCCGTAAGCATGTATGCGTGCCGGACGTCGCGAGAATCCTCTGACGTCCCTGTGCCCACAACCATCGCTCGCACTCCACGATCTCCATTACCCATGTCGCTAATCTCGAGGTTGGTCGCAAACCGGCCAAGCATCCCTTCGGGCTTGTCTTCGTCGACTTCCCACGCAGTATATCCCTTCTGGCTGTCCTTCGTATGGCCAGTCCGGTATATCTCTCTGCAAGTTGTCTTTTCCAGGTCCCACACGGTAACTTCTCCCTGCCCTGTTCCTCCGGCGACGCAGATCCATTTGCCTCTTCCTTTGTTAGGGTGCACGCAGATCCGATAGATCGACCCCTTTCCAGGCAAACCCCAGCCTTTCAGCCTCATCTTGAAACGAAGATCCCAAAGGTCGACTACGCCATGAGAAGTCCCCACGCACAGCCAGTTCCTTTTCTTATCAATGCAGAAGCACGTTGGCGTTCCATGATGAACAGGATTTTCCAGGATGTAGAGGACTGTCATGGTCCTTAAGTCCATGGCCAGAATTCTCGACAGATTCGTGGCAATGACGAGAATGGAACTTTGTTCTTGCTTAAAATGTTCGCACCATACGGCATATTCGCCTTCTGGTAGCTGATATTCACGCAAGTCTCGCAGCTTTGTATACCTAATCACACCGCTTGTGGGAACTGTATCAACCTTGACTACGTGAACGCTGCCATCGGATGCACAGCTGACAAAGCAATGAGAATTCTCAACAAAGCAGAGAGCAAGAACGCGAGCTCCTTCAGCATGTTTGTAAGTCTGCCGAGATCGGTTTGTAATATTACGCTCAAGCCGTTGTGTATCCCATATCTTGACCGTCCCATCATTACCGCCTGTAATGAAGAAAATATGGTCCGGAGAGGGAATGACCCGGTTGATAGGCCCGTGGTGTTCTGCAAATGTCGCCACGAGATGGCCATCCGGCTTCCAAGGAGGATCTGCACCAGGTACATTGACCGATCTGCTCTTATCTCCAGATATAGGCTGTACCATGGGCCCAAACTCGAGCACGTCGCGGGGAAAGTTTTCGACGTACATGTTGTCAAGCATGCGTCGAATATGAGGGTCTGTCCCTTCATAGCTATGGCGCACATGCTTCTGACGAGTATTTTCTTCGGATTCTGCGCCTGGCCCAGAAACAACTTGTATTGGTACTGCCTGGGCAAACGGCCCTTCTACTTCTCCAAAAGCATTAGCGTCGCTTGTTCCAGTCTCCGGGATAGACTTATGGCCGTCTTTGCGATCCAAAAGACTGAGAGCACTTGACTGGTGCCGGATGCCTCTGCGAGAAGAATAAGATGCATCCTTAACAGAAACAGAGTCATCCCCAGGGCCCAATGGAGATGTCATGGCCCTCCTAGAGTCCGTCGAACTAGCTCTGCCACTCCCAGTGGGAGACAAGAGCCTACCTGTACTCCTGGAGGGCAAAGGCCCAATACTGTGTACTCTTTTGTGCGAATGAAGAGCGGCGCGCTTTTTCTTACCGAGCGTATCATCTATTGTCATAGAGGCATCTAATAGTGCATCTGCAATCGTATACGGACCTGTTACTGGAGGTGTGGGCTCCAAATCCGGTAAAACAGCAGCAGGGTCTTTCAGAGCCGTGTCGTCGAAGAATACCGTCTGCGGTGTTACACCCAGCTCCTTCAGCTGGACAAATCCTGTTGGCATATTCTCTTCCTCTGTAGAAGAGACGACAAAAGCGTCGCGAGCCTTGTTCTTGCTAAGTCGCCAGATATACTCGCCCAATGCTAGTAGTTTTATCTCGTCTTCGGGTTTCAGGCCGAAATTCCGTAACTTCTCGAGCCATTGTTCATCCTCTTCGTTGCGGTTAATCTTGCTCAAAGAAGAAGATATCAGTTCTTTGGACGATCGAGCTGCCGAGGCCAGCGGTACCTGGCCCGGTGACGACCGCTTTCCCAAAACAGATTTCCAAAAGACTCCCTTATCGGTTTTGGAAGCCCAAGTCAGTGCCTGATCAAAAACTGCCCTAGGGAGAGGCTTCTTCAAAGAGTCGAGCAGGTTTAGCTCGGAAAAATCGGAGATAGTATGTATTTTGAGGTATGGCCTGACCAATGGCAGCAATATGCACTGGATATCGGCCTTGGATAAGAATTTGGCAGCCATAGATAGGAATTCAGCTGCAGATTCTCTAATCCATGCGTTTGGGTGCATGGTAAGCCGTGCTACCAAGTCAGCCAATTCCCAGATCCTTGGTCCAGACAGCAGTCCTAGTCCTGCAATTTGAGCCAGCGAATGTAGAGCTGAACGCACAACATTCTCCTCCGAGTCTGCCAAAGTCTGGACCATGAGAGGTAGCATAAATTCTTCTAGGCTTGTGCTCCCCATAAAAGTCGCAATGCCCACGACCGTGTCCAGGAAGGCGCTCTTCAACATCCAGTCTCCGTCGTTGAGGTAGGTGATCAAATGCGAAAGTAAGATGTCGTTTGAATTGTCCTGAAAGTGCATGCAGAGGTCTGGCACAGAGGTCAAGAACGCTCGTCGAACGTTGGCGTCTGGATCCTCGACGAGCTGCTTTGCATGGCTCTCTAAAATCTCAGAAAGTTGTCGGCTTGCATTGTCGTACATACTCTCAAAGTTTGCTGTGGCGCCATTCGTCCCAGGCTCAACCTCTGGATCGGTAATCGGCATCGATCCATCAGTCTTGAGGCTAGATGCCATCTCCAGAAAACGCTGTGCAGTAGAAGCAAGGCTACCTATGCAAGACGCATACGTTAATCGCACCAAGGAATTGGGGGTCCATGATTTAGTGCCAAGGGCAATCTCCATCCTTGGCAAGACGTATTCCACCAAAACATGAGAGTTGATTGGCGTGGTCGTCCGTACCAGCTGCAATAGCTGAGTGACGTTTCGTATGACTGTAACCAGCACTATATCCGTCTCTTCTTTACGCAATAGTGACATTAGGTACGGAAGCACTCTGTCGAGCTTGGCCTCATCGGTAAGTCTCTCAGCAAACGCTAATAGCAAATCGCATGCCCTGATTCTAGACGCAGCTCGGGCTGTTGTCCTCATAGCCGAGGCAACCAACGTCAAAAATAGCAGCGTCCCGTCGTCTTCTGGTGGTTCGAGATCGGCTGAAACGGAGTGTTCGTGAGTTGGAATACTCAACCTGACAGGGAAATGGTCCAGCCCCAGCCTTGATTTGGGAATTATCGGCTCCGCGGTCTGCTTTTCGTTATGGTATCCCAAGAAATATGAGATTTTGTCAAAGTCGTTAAAAATCCTATCTATCCGGTTATCCGACTCGCCCAAATTACTCTGGGCTCCAGATATCGGGCTGTTCCCAGAAGATGGATCCGTAATAAGCTCCATGTATTGGTGTAAAAAGTTGTAAAAATAGCTAGGAAAGACTTTATCTTTCCAAAAGTCAAGATACTGTTCCGCTGAGTAACGCCTCTCCGGGTCAAGCTGAATCATATGAGCAATCATATCTCGCACGTCTTTGTCCGAAATGACGCTCAAGTGAGTAATGACCGGATCGTATTCGCCCCGACGATACTTGTACAGCTGTGCGAGACTGAATATTTCAGATTCGAGGAACAGCTGTGCAATGACACATCCCGCGCTGAAGATGTCCATGGCCCACGTCATCTTGGGATTCTGTGGCGGAGCTTCATTAGATGAATAAAATCGCTCGGGGGCGATATAGCACGTCCGCCGCCCAGAGGAGTCGAAGAAGTAGGAAAAGTCGCCGGGGTTATCGTCGGGCAGCATTATGGGTTTGTAAGCGGATGAGAAGTCCGTTAGATACAGCCAGTTCCAAGATGTAACCAGTACGTTCTGAGCCTTGATGTCGCCATGATAAACGTCTCGTGCGTGGCAATCTCGCAGGGCGCAGAGAAGTTGAAAGGCCAGCCACTTCTTTTCGATATCTTCGAGGAAAGGCCGCGTACTCATACGATCATAGAGAGAGTTGTACATGAACTGCCGCACTAGATATCCGTTTGTCTCGGTTTCGATAATACGCTGGAAGCCCAAGGCATTAGGGACATCCGCCAACGCCTTTCGTTGCTCTATTCAGAAGTGCACACGGTTAGCATATATGGTCCCCGTCTCAAACCACAGACACATTGAAGCTCTCACCTATAATCTTCTTCTTGTACTTCTCCAACTTCACTTCCGTATACGGCTTCACAAGCACCTTGACCAACACGACGCCATGTTCATGCCTGCCCCGGATACTCTTCATGAACCGAGCATTTCCAATGCTCTTCTCGTACTGGATATCCTGCAGCTGGGCAATATCTATGCCCGCCGCGCCGGCCGACGGCGTTGCCAGAGAGAAGCCTTGACCCATGATTAATCGAGCGAGCGTGATGTTTATTAAATCTCGTTCTTTGGGTAGCTATCCAGAGACCGTTTACGACCCGAGACGCAAGACCAGACGACCGAGACGAGACGACCGAGAGAGGGGTGGGATGCGACGTCTTATCGTTCGGCCAGGTTTGAGGCAGCCGTCATCTTGGATAGACGGTAAATCCAAGTCGGCAGAGGCAACGGTTTCGAAACGAGGGCTGCCAGATATCGTCGTTCGGTAGGAGGTCGTGTAACGAAAGAAAGAGAGAGTTTGGTTGCTTTGCTGAGGCTTGAAGTGCGGGAGGGACGTCACCTGCTAATATGCGCCGCCTCTGGATCGGAGCTTGCCAGGTACCTACGCCGCCACAGCGGGTGGGTTTGGCCGCATAAGCATCCGCTAGCAGCCACTAAAATCAGCTGCCCGCCAGAGCTAAAGACAGCACAGAGCAGTTGAGCTCGGCTGCCTGTTAAGCTGAGCTAAGCTATCAAGACGCTTGATGCCTCAGCCTTGCCATTCTATACAAACTAGTATTTACCTACTCTTTAATAACTCATGAAATTTAATTCGTCGATATACAGTGATTTTTCTTAGATTCTTTGTGGAGCTTAGAGAGACACGGGTGTTGGTGATAGCCTGCTCAGTGTTCAGATTCTTGCTCCTCTACTACACTTCACCAAGGCCATGCTACAAGATAACCATGACAAGAGAAAATGATCACAAGAGAAAAAGATTCATTCGATTCACAGCTTTCCATTAAACGTACTATATGTATCCCAACCAACCACAATGGGAATCAATGTCATATACCCAGAAAAAGAGCCCATATCATATTTGTATCAAGTTGTTTAAAAAATAGATATAAAAAAAAAAGAAGTGGTTATAGATGGTACCAAACGTCAACCATGATCCGGTATCCCATGTCCATATCCAGAGACTCATATACACCAGGAAAGTGAAAGAAGTAAGAATAAGTAAGTTCCTTTCATGATAGACAAGGAATAGGCTCAAGAATCCAGCACTGCGTTGCCTTTCGAGTTCGTACACATCGACGAAGATGTGGTTTCTTTCAACGACGGGTCCCGGCATGATCGGACTCGGATATCCTGCCCTAGAAAAAAGAAACCCAGAAGATATAGCGCGTGCGTGTGTGGAAAGAAAAGATGAAGAAAAAAGAGGATATTCCAAATGAAGGAGGTATGATGGGTACTAACTGAAGAAGTAAAAGAAAAAGTAAATGTAGTAAAGTAAAAGTAAACAAAAACGCCCCTTTTCGCGGCTAATGCGATATTTCCTTTGTAAACTTTGGCTTCAATAGCCCCCATTTGAGTGAAATGCTTAGATGTATACCTCCCCGCCCATTATTCCTGAACTCCTATGCATACCAGGATCGTTAAAAAAAACAAAAAGAATTGGTTTTTCATTCCGTCATTGGCAAGAAAATGTTTCAACATTTTCTGATCCCCATGCCCGAGCTATGTCGGTTATGCAAAAAAAAAAAATGGATAAAGCTTTCAGACTTGTTTTGTTTTCTTTTTTTCTCTCAATTTACTATGGCACGCATGCGCATCTGCCGTGTTGAGCGGTACCGCATCTTTGCCAGCATGGCTTCTGTATCGAAGTCGCTCTGACCGGCATTTGGGTCTGCCTCGATCCGGTCGACCATGTGCATAATGGGGGCCCTTGGCGCGGCGGGATCTGCCACTTCGAGCTTCTGCGAATGGGGATCGCTGCCTTCTTTGTGATGCGGTACCAATGTTCTGCTGACGGTGATGGACTTGATGGTGCGGGGCTTGGATTCAGCCTCCTTCAACTGGTCGGGCTCTTCGCGTTCAATACGCTCGAATTCCTTCTTGGCCATCTCGAGCACCTCGCCGATGCGTTTCTGGATCTTTTGTACCTCTTCGTTGCACTTGGCATCTCTTAAGAACTGGTGGGCGCCGTGCTCACACGTGCTCTGTACAAACTCGAGGGCCTTGTCCAGCTCGTCATACACGTCGGGAGTCTGGTTGGGCAGGCCGGGGTGGCCACTGCGCATGGCAGCAGGTCCATACCGCCGACTGCTGATATATCGTAGTGATGGGAGCGCCTCTGCACCTCTGTCGTCGCCACCGGTGTTCTCGTCGTCGGGAACTTCCATCTCGGCTAACTTCTTAATCTGCGCCACCTTGGCAGCCATCTTGGCCTTTCGCATCAGATTCCTACTCGACGATATAAACCGGACCAGGTCGTCAAAGAAACCCTGAACGTAGCTGTCGTAGTAAACGATGATCATATTCCTAGTACGATATGTCTGCCGGGGGCCATCTGCTGAGGCAATAGACGCCGTCTTGTTCTTCTTGGCCGCTCTGGCGCTGGGGATGGCATTGGTATCTGTCGAAGATTTGGGAAATAGGGGGCGCTTCTCGACAGCAGGGCTTGGCGGTGACGACCGGCGTTCTCTGGGGCCGTGAAAGGGTGCCTTGACGATGTCGGGCTGTGGCTGAGTGGGAGCATCATCGGTGAAGAAGATGTGCATGGCGCCATCATCCTTGGGCTTGAGAGATTCCGTTGAGCCTTTATTCCTCAGCGATCTGGTCTCGGGCTCCTTGTGGGGGTTTGCCTCGGCCAAGGCAGCCAGCTCCAGCTGGCGCTTGTCGACCTGGCTACTCAGCTCATCGAGCTTCGTTTGCCAGTCGGGGATGTTGTTGATGAGGTTCTTTAGAGCGTCGATAGCCATCTCGCGGAAGTTGTTTTCCCGCGACGAGACTCTGGACGGAGCAATTGTGGCGGTGTTAGGCGTTGTCACCTAACAATCAAAATCGGAGATGTGGTATTGAAAACTTTCGTCGAGGTCGTATAAGATGTCTCCTGAAGCGTCGATGGACGCTGCCCTCGTGGACTGGAAGAAGGAAGTCCAGCGAAACAGTGGAGAGAAAGCGAGAGGAGCGAGAGCGAAGAAAAAGGGTGGACAAAGAGGGTAGCTTTGGCCTTACGTTAGCTCAGTGGAGCTCGCCGTCGCAACTTCCGTCGACGAACCTTTTTTTTTCCTGTCCCAGTAACCAGCTCTGTTCTCGGTAAAGAGGCTTGGGGGAAAAAAAACCAGCGCGAGCCAGCCGTCCGATATACCCACTAGCGTCGAGGGAAATGACGGGGAAAGAAAGTCGTTTGAGGCTGTGGAGAACTGAGAGCGACGTAAATGGCGTGGTGTGTGTGTGCAGCGGTCTGATCTCTCGTCGGTCGTCCGTAGCTCAATGGAGCTGCCAGCGATACGCTTTTGGTGGCTTGGAAGGTTTGCCGAGAGGGGAGATGCTAGGCTCCGGTTGGGTTGGGCGATGGATTGCAAGTTTCGGTCGAGCGACTGGCACTGAGGCGGCGGCGGGAGATTTTCGTCTGGTGAATCTGAATCTGCGTTTTGGAAAAAAGGAAGAGTCGAGAGTCGAGAGTCGAAAGGGATCGAGAAAGCGAGCACGCAAACAGAGAAGTAAGAGAAGAGCGAGGCGCGCCGCAGAAAGGGTGGTGACCTGTAATATTAATAACGGCTGTCCGAGGAATCGATGAGACGGGGACCCTGTAGAGAGAGAGCTGTACTGGATGCTACAGGCACCTACACCTCGCACAGGAGCAAGGTTGTTGGCCTGAGGAGCCCGAGGAGTGTGCTGTGCTGTTGGGCGGGCGTGGGCACAGTACCTGCTCCACCTCGGAAGCAAGGACATGGGGCGCATTTACCGCGGCCAGTCTGTACTGTATTCGCAGCACCAGGGGGGGTAGGTACGGGGTACATCCAGCGCGAGGTACCCGGACTCTTGCAAGGCCGCAGGAACCCCAGAAGGAGCGCAGGGGCCGCCGGTTCCCACAGTACGTAGCACACAGTGCCTGCACCCTGAGTCGGCCCCGTCGCTCACGAATTGCCCCAACGGTCACTCGCTGGATCGGGGACAGCCCCCGTATTTCGAGGGATCAAGGAGAGCCAGACCACACTGTGGGCAGGCTGCATTTCGCTGCAAGCTGCGTCTGCTGCAACGAGCATACGAATTAGTGCCTGTATTCCAGCAGAGGTATCGGATACTTGCAGCGCGTACTTTGTACCAGCCGGGTGCGCAAATACGCGGGATGGTGCGCAAATAGGCGGGACGGTGCGAGCTGTCGCAGAGCATTGGGGGTTATGGGTACTTGGGTACATACGTACGTGCGTGCATGCAGTGTCGGGGGTTTAGCGACACAAGCCGCATCTACCGCCGACGGCCAATGGCCAATGGCACTGCGTCGACACGCTGCCCAATTGGGCATTTTCACACGAATCAGTACGGCAGTACTTCTGCCATGCCATTGAAGCCTTGCCTTGCCTCGTCTTCTTGTAGTTTGCAGCACATGGCTCGGCTGTCGTCAAGCAAGAGCTGATTGCTTATAGATGCTGGTATGCAAGAAGTATTCTCTGATTGGGAATTACAAGGACGCGGTGTTCAAACTCTACATGGCAGCCATCGGCACCTTGATATCCGGAGCACATCTCAGAGCTTCGTACCTGTACTCATATATAGAGACTGCTCTTTGCAACGCAGTACAGCCAATGCGTGCTTACATCTGCTCGTGCATTGCTCAGGTTACAGCGAAAGTCGCAGAATGCAGCAGCAAGTGGATTCGAGCTGTTTTCCTAGGGCACCGCCTCTCAGTAGCACATGCTTTTGTGTTGTTGGTTGAGCCTCTGCTGTGCATCTTGGGCTTCGACTAATGTAGGATATACGAGCGTCAACGTCGTAGTTTCAAGTGGAGGAGAAATATATAGGCAGTCTCCGAGCTACGCCCATTGTAAGAAAAAAAAAGTATGAAAAAAAGATGGAGCGGAAAAGAATAGTGAAAGGGCATAGGACACATGCTATAGCACTGTGCTCCATACAGCCCTATGCCTATGCTATCGCCGCCGCATCGCGGAGAGAAGAGCAGCAAGCCCCAGAGCAGATGTCCCCTGGTGTCCGTAACATTATACTGCAATGAAGCTGGCCAGTATGGCAGAACAGCAGAGC